TATCGATGTCTAATCTTGTTTTTATTTATCTCTGGAAAAGAAAGTGATCTAATTGCAGGTAAACAGCGAAAAATAAATGTTTTACTCATTAAACAAAAGACAACATAAATGCATATTCTAACTGAGGAAAAAGTTAGGACACCCTACCCCCTAATACCTAATGTTACCACCTTTGACTGAAATAACTTCAGTGAGACACTTCTTGTAATCCTCTACCAGTCTCTGACATCGGTCTGAGGAAAGTTTGCCCCACTCCTCAATGCAGAATGCTTTAACCTGTGTGATGTTTGAGGGGTTTCTTGCATGTACAACCCGTATTAAATCACCCCACAGCATCTCAATGGGATTAAGATCTGGGCTTTGACTGGGCCATTCCAGGACTCTCCATTTCTTAGTTTTCAGCCAGTCCTTGGTGGATTTACTGGTATGTTTAGGGTCATTGTGATGTTGCAGGGTCCAGTTCCGCTTCAGCTTTAATTTTCTTACAGATGATCTCACATGTTTCTCAAGCACCCTCTGATACACTGTAGAATTCATGATGGATTCTGTGACAGTGAGCTGGCCAGGTCCTGCTGCAGCAAAGCAACCCTCCAAACCATGACACTTCCACCTCCATGCTTCACAGTTGGTATGAGGTTATTTTCCTGGAATGCTGTATTTGGTGTGCGCCAAACATGTCCTCTGTTCTGGTGTCCAAATAATTCAATTTTAGACTAATCTGTCCAAAGAACATTATTCCAGAAGTCCTGTTCTTTGTCTACGTTCTCTCTGGCAAACTTCAGTCTGGCCTTAATGTTTCTCTTGGAGAGTAAAGGTTTCCTCCTTGCACACCTCCCGTGAAAATTAAACTTGTACAGTCTCTTTCTGGTTGTAGAGGCATGCACTTTCACATCAACAGTCGCCAGAGCCTGCTGTAGGTCCTGTGATGACATTTTAGGGGTTTTGGAGACTTCTTTTAGCATCTTGCGGTCTGCTCTCGGGGTGATCTTGCTTGGACAGCCAGACCTGGGCATGTTGGCAGTTGTTTTGAATGTCCTCCACTTGTACACTATTTTCCGGACAGTGGAATGGCTGATTTCAAACTCTTTTGAATCCCTTACCAGACTCATAAGCTGCAACAATCTTCTTTCTGAAGGCCTCAGACAGGTCTTTCGATCTCACCATGGTGTTCACTCTCACGTCAACAGTCAGGAGCACACCAAACTGAATGTCTGAGGTTTAAATAGGGCAAGCCTCCTTCAAAATGATGAGTAACAATTTTCTAATCATGTGCACCTGATGTGATACACCTGTGTGTGATTTCAGCCATTTTAAGTGGAAAAAAATGTGGGGGTGTCCGAAGTTATTCCTCACCAGAAACTGCATGTTTATTTTATTACATTTTACAGAAAGTTTTAAAAAGTATTTTCTTCAGTTTTACTTGTTTAGTTATATTACTTGAATCTCTCAGTATTGTTAAAATTGATATTAAATATCCATATGTCTAAATATGTAAAAAAAAAACATGTTTTCATAGGGTGTCCTAATTTTTTCACATGACTGTACATACATATATATGTGTGCATCCCAAAGAGTCAAACATGAGGTGTACTGCATCAGTAGTTTCCAACCTGTTGATGCCCCTCTGGCGGAGCTCCTTGCCAGGCAGGTTGAAGTCTCCCAAGTACGTGTGAGCCAGACACTTGATTAAATCCTCCTCTATGCCTCCAGCTGTGGTTACAATCACATCCACCTGACACACAGTAACAGGACAGATTCTGATAAACTCCCTGTCAAATTTGGTTGATCATTTTAGACGTTATCTGTGATTAAACTACGACCTGGATAATTGTAACGAGTGTATAAATGTGTACCATTTTGTGCTCTGCCAGGTAGCGGATGCTCTCTCTGACCCCGGAGCTAATTAAATTGGAGGTGTAACCCAGGAAGATGGTGCAGCCCAACTTGCGGGAGGCTTCACCGGACTCTTTACATTCATTTCCTTCGTCCGCCTCCACCGGCTCAAGACGCTTCTCTATCTGTGGGAGAGGAGTCATTAGATGATAATGATAACTTAACAAATGATCATAAACAGACTGATAAAAAGCTACTAAATCTGTATGATTTGGGTCGGTTCGCCCCAAATAACCTCCCTTTAGCCATGCAGATAGTTTTTGCTTCATGTGCCCTAGTTTTAAAATATCCGTTTCTGGGATTTCCGTGCAACACAGCCATCCCTCGTACCATTTGGTTGATCTCCTGGATGGCTAAGCCCAACCTGCTGGCCTGGAAGCCCGTGGTGAGGTAGGACTTCAGCACTGCCTGGAGATCTACCCCCTGGTTGAAGTCATAGCCTTTGATCTTTGGCATGTCCTCTGGGAGGTCGCAACTGGGCTTAAGGACAGCCTCCATGGCAACAGAGGGGGCGTGGTCTGCCATCTTTTCTGCAAAAACACAGAGAACGTGTTAGGGGTGTGGTTGGGAGACTGTGGTGCCCAGTGCTCTTACTGACACGTGCAGAAAAACCACGACTGAGCTTCATAGCTGCTGATGTGTGAACAGCTGGAAAACATTGTCCGGGGTCCAGACCTTTGAACGCCCCCCCACCCATCCACCAGTGATTCTATAACTACAATAGTCAGCTACACAGAAGTCCCTTATATAGATTTTCCAACCCAGATGAAACCATGCACACTTCCATATGAAAGAAAGCCTCAACGGCAGCTACAGTAGCTTGGAGAACAGTATCCTGATTGGCCAGATTATTTTGCTCTGTAATGGTGTTGTGATTTTGCCTCAGTAATACAGGGTGTATCTGCTGGTTTAGAAAGCTAAAAGAATGCCTTTTTTGCTGTAGGCTGTTTGAGGGTGTGTCTGTGTGTCTGTGTGTTTGTGTGTCTGTATGCCAGCACGCCCTGAGTGTTTGTGCTGGGAGGCAAAAGTGTCCCAAAATGTCAATTTGTGCCACAGTAGGCACATTTCTCTGTGCCAGTAAAGTTAACAAACAATTGTGCTCCTCTCCTCTCACATGTAGAGCTGATCTTTATAAGAACCTAATGAATTATGTGTTTGTGGATAATAAGCTTTTTGTTTTGTTTGCATACACTGTCTTCTTCCAGTGGTTTAGGAACATTGTTTGAACCCCTTCACTTTAGCTCAGTGTTTAATAAAGATTTCATTTAAAATTAATTACTTTGTTCCTTCCTGCAGGTTATTTAGTGTCTTTAAATGACTTCTTAAACTTTAACAGTGGCCTTTGATGGTCTTCTACCTGACCCAGACGACTCTTGCCCCGTTTTTAAGTGTCTACCTGGACGGCCAGCTGTACGATGATGATGATAATAATAGCTGGAAACTTTCTGGCTGTCTTGCACAGCTAAAGCTAACAACAACAACAACAACAACACAATTTTAAACGTATAAAAAGAAACCAAACACAAACGTTTACGTCCAGGTTTCTAGGTGAATAAAAGTGTCATTGATCGGACAGGATGAGTTGAATGAAGCACATACTGTCAGTGGCGGAATCAATGTGGTCTGATGTCAGCTAGCAGACGAGCTAACAGTGAGCTGTATGTCTCCATCGACTGCTTTTAAACAGGATTAAACATCAGAGCACAGAGAGGAAACTCACCTGTTGGTGGAGAGGAGTTAGTTAGCTGATGAAGATGGTTCAGTTGGCATCAATTCCCACCACGATAAATTAGCATCTCTGTAAACAACACATGGGTCGCCTGCAGAAGACGCTCTTACTACGGAAAGCGCGGAGGGACAAACCCCTAAAGCCCTGAAACTCACAAGTGGGTATTTAATTACAGTGTGTGTGTGTGTGTGTGTGTGTGTGTGTGTGTGTGTGTGTGTGTGTGTGTGGACTTCATAGGTGTTTGTTCACACTGTGTCAAACAGATGTTGGACTGTCATTGGTGTGTCTAATGTTTGAACTATAATCTCTACTGTAGGCTGCATACAACTTTATATTATTATACTCTTAAAATGTTTTATTTACATATTTTTACCTTATTCAGCTTTTTTAAATGATTAAACATTCAGATAAGGGTAGGTTAATCAGGTGGATGCAGTACTCAATTTAATAATAATAATACATGTATTTATTCAATGTTTTGCTTTTGAATTTATGTAAAAAGTGGTATAAATATAATTAATTATATGGGTAAAATTGTACTTGCCACACACACACACACACACACACACATATATATATATATAATGTAAAATTATTCATTTGATTTCTATCACAGCTTTATATTATTGTTGCATTTGAACAGTGAGATGTTCAAAGCTAAATGTAGAAGTAAAAATGACTATTTCTATCCAGAATAATGATAATGATCATTTAAATTTAATAAAATGATTAATAAGCACTTTTCAAGCTTAAGAACAAACTGTTTTCCAGATTAAAAGATATACAATGGGAATAGTCAAGCACAATAATAACTGGCACATTCTTGTGTCTTCACCATAGTGTCACTTCCCCTTTTGCGGTCCCTCGTCTGAACTGATTTAATAAAAATAAAAATATATGCCTTACACATTTTGACAACCTAACTAAAACACAGTTAATCAAATTAATAAATACTTCCAATCTCCAATCTCTCTATTATTGCATAAACAGATGTTTTTGACCATACCTTTTGTAAAAAATTGCACACACATTGTGTAGCTGAAAGGCAGAAGGTATACCTGGAGCACAGCATAATGCCTTAGTCAATAATCTTTTCATCAGTGGTGACTGTGAAGTGATGTGTGATGTTTGTGACATTTCCAACACTGTGTTGTATGACCTTTTATATCACAGAGCCTTTGAACTGCCCCCAGCGGTGAATAAAAAGGGGGATACAGGTGAGGAAGGAAACTCAGGAGCTTCTCTGACTAGACTCTCCTGCACAACCTGAGTGGTCTCGTACGATCAGGTAAAACAAACAATTTCTCTTTTTGGAGTGGAAGAGTAAAACTGAGTCCTGATAGTAGGCTTTTTTTTCTGAGTCATTAGACTGAAGGTTATGTCAGGAATGATGTGCAGCAGCAACAGTGTTGTTCAGGCACAAAAACTGGTGGATCAACTTCGGTTGGAGGCAAACATGGAGAGAATCAAGGTATGTGAGAATCTGAAAAATCACATATGCCATCACATCATCATATATTCAAAACTGCATCACTTGAGATCAGGTAGTTCTGATTTATTCATTTTAAGAATAGCATTGTTTTATTTTTCATATCTACTCACATGCTCCATGTCTCTAATATTAACATACAATGTCCAGTGTTTATTTATTCTTGCAGTATTACAATGTCTTAATTCCTGTGACATGCCATCCTATCCACCTTCATCCCAGCAGATCTCACTGACAGCCGCAGACTTGGTCCGGTACTGCCAGGACCACAGGCGCAGTGACCCTCTGCTCACTGGCATCGCTGCCTCATCCAATCCTTTCAAAGATAAGAAGACCTGTGTGCTGCTTTGACAGTCCTGAGTCGAGATGACCGACACACGACAGGCTGCCACGTGGACAACTGCTATCGACGACTGATTCTTTACTGTATGGCAATCAATGGTTCATTCTTGTTAACACTTCATTACAATTGAACAACTCCAACCAATACTTCAGACACTAGTTTTTCAAGTAATTTAACAGTCTTTCAATGTGTTTTAATGGATGCATCTGTCAAGTATTGTGCAAATGATTTATAGTTAGATTTATCCGAACAATTAAATGGTTACACATTGTTAAAACTAGCATACACACACACATACACACACAGAATGGATATACAGACATATTGACAAAAAGGATCATATTGTTTAGCACTGTTGAATGTGTTTAAATAAATAGCTTTACAAATACAATCAGTGTGTCACAGAGGGCTTGGATAATTCAAATATTTCACTGTACATGTAACTAAAGCTTTTGGTACAATGTCAGTTACTGTAATGGATTCAGTCAATTCATAAGCATGTAAATACCATAAGCTTGTTTCACACTGTTGAATAAACAACTGAAAGCGAGATTCACTTTTTCCAACGTAGTGTCTTTGAAAGCTTTGAGTACTGGCACAAAATGGCAATTAAGTGTATGGAACAAACATTTAGCAATAAACACATTTCATGTGTTCATATATGTGTTTTTGTTTGTAAAAAAATCTCTTAACGGGATCAAACAAGGAAATCAAATGTTTCAATGTTGTGTGTATACTGAAAGATCAGTATAGCGTTGATAGTCTTCAGGGGACTTGTCCCCATCTGCTTTCAAGTTTTACCACATAGTTTGCAGGCCTTGCTCTTTCATTTTCTGGGCCTCCAGACTTCCATGCAGACATCCCCTGAGGCGACAGCAAGGACTCCAGCCTCCACACTCAGCTGAGAGTTAAAGACAGAGACAGGAGGAGTGTTATCAGTGAGAGAGTGAGACATGGAGTACAAACATTTTCAAAAATGAGAATGAGCAGATTGATTACTTACAAATATCTTACAAATCAAAGAAACACCACACAGACAGCAAATACTGTATAGATGATGACTTTTTACATAATTAAAGTTTTAACATAATCTTTAAATGTAAACAATTTGACACTTTAATTCTCTTTATGTGGTACTAACCCCATTGACTCCAGCTTGGTGATGCAGTGTGCATAATGTCCTTGGAGGTGAACAGGGGATATGTACCTGCAATACAGACAAGAAATTACAACTTAAGACCATTTAGTAGCAGAGTTAGTTAAATAAGCAAAGTAACAAGGAATCTGCCTCATCCTACCTTGACAGTACGATCAGATGAACAGGTGTAGAGGCTTCCGGGGGACCTGTGGATGCCAGTGACTAGAGCTGTGTGTCCCACATCAAACTGGGACAGGGGTTTTAAGGTCCCAGCCTGCATGGAAAAGGAGTGGAGCATGCCACTGTTGTCTCCTGCCCATACCTCACAGCCACTGTAGCTCATGGACAGCAGGTAAGAGCTCAGCTAGAAATGGAGGGGTTGTTTGGAGTTAGTCTCGAGTTCTGATGCACATCTGAACACATATGTGCTCAAACGCAAACTTAAGAAACTTTGTGTGTGTGTTTGCATCTACCCGGAGTCTCTTTAAGCCCTTGCCTGCCCTGCGGTCATAGACGGCCACAGTGCAGTCTTTACTCCCAGAGATGATGTACTTGTCATCTGCAGCGAGGCACATTACAGCGTTACCATGAAGACGGAGGCTTTTCACCAGGGGTTCAGCAGCTGTGGAGAAAATTATGATATAATCAACCTCAGAAACCAAGTGGTTTGTCTAAGTGTGTAAGAAGGATTTTATGTCGTGTTTCAACTGAAAAGTATGCGTATGCTAAGCCCCCTCACCTCTGGTGTCATACATGCTGATCCTCTTGTCAAATGTACCAGCCAGCAATACATCTGTCTGACAGGAGAGGCAGAGGACAGCAGCCCCGGCCCGTATCAGGCCCCTCTCTGCACCACCTGCCTGTAGGTCCCACAACCTCACTGTGCTGTCGAAGCCCCCTGAGGCCAGCAGAGGTCCCTGAGATGCCAGGCACCAGACCCAGCCCCGGTGGGTGCTGAAGTCACCCTGACCTCCCAATGTGTGCAGCAGGGTGCCACCAGTGCCTGCCTGGAGATCCCACAGCTTAACGTTCCAGTCTCTGGAACCTGTGGCACAAACGGCCCCCTCTCCCCCCACGAGGAGGACTGAGTTGACCTGGGCAATGTGGCCTGAAGGTAGGCTGATGCACTCCAGTGCTGGGGGTGGGCTAGGACTTCTGGGGGTTTGATGTTGGTCGATTTCTCCCTGTCTGCCATTACCCAGATTCCTGGGGTCTGCCAGTGCCTCTTGGTGATTAAGAGCGCCATCTTGCCCTTCATCAGCATTAAAGGCGATCCTGTGGTCCCTTTCTTCCTCCATTAGTGCTGCTGCATCATCCTCCAGTCTCTCTTCCAACGCCTCTCTCAGTCTTTCCAGTCGCTCCACGGCTACCATGGGCTGCATTTCACCATCCTCACCTTCCATTGCCACCTCCATTCCTTCATCAACACCATACGCAACCTCCTGCGCAACCACTCCCACCCCTTCTTCCTCATCCCCTCTACCATCTTCCTGTCCTTCTGCAACTGGTTCCCTATCCTGCCCTGCCCTTTGCTGCTGCCCCACTTGTTCCCTTTCCTCCTCATCCTCTTGGGTCTGTCTGGCCACAAGATGCCCTTGGCCCGTCCAGCAGGTTATCAGCTGCTCCATCTCCAGGCAAGCAGAAGCCCAGTCAAAGTCCTCCCTTGGTCCGACTGGAAAGCCAGCTCGGGATCCTATTAGTCTGCGTGCCCGGAGCTGCCAAGCGGTGCTGTCCTTACCCACATTACCCAACGCATGACAGACCTAAAAAGAGGAGTGTGTGAGGGATTCAACAACATTTCCAATATTTGCAAGACTGATAAAGTTTTCAAGGTTCCCTGTGGAGTTTCTGGCCCTCTAGCACTGCTATAGAGCCCTGTTTGTTTGCCTGGGGCACAAATACGGACATGCAAGCACACATGTACGAAATGGGACACATTCCTGCCAATGGCTTCACATTATTTCACTGATCTACAGATGCTTGTAATGTGCCAAGAAAGGCTTTTTGCTTTCTGCTAATAAACATAAATTTAAACAAAGTAGGATACAAAACGCTTTAAAAATTGTCTTTGAAACGAATGAATGAAGTGCATTCAACATGTTTTCTCTCAAAGATACACACAATGCCTTTGAAGTAACACCCCGTCCCGGGAGTATACAGTGAAAGTGTATTAAAAGGTATGTTATGGAAGTGGCTGGCCAAAAGATCTTTAAAAAAAAACAAAAAAAACGAACCTTTGGCAGCACAGTGATGACACACTGAGCAGGAAGGTGCGAGGCAATGTGGGTAACCATCTCCCATGGTAATGACAACAGGCCGGTTGTCTCAGCTGAAGGTGAGGGGCTAACATCAGCTGAGGTCGGGCGACCAGCAGGGAGACTGGAAGGGATAGGACGGCTTATTAATCTCATATCCTTGTGAAATGCCACGGAAGGCCATTGATTGAGGGTGACAGACAGTCTTACCCTTGCAGGTCAGAGCTGGCAGCTTCGCCACTCGGAGATTTCACGGGGTCCGGGGATGGTCCGTCCGGTGGTCCGTCCGGAGAAGGTCCGTCCGGGTCACCTTGTGTCCCTGCCCCCGGTTCATTACAGTTACCCCTGACCTCAGACATCCCCTCTTCTCCTCTTAGCAAAAGACCGATAACTCATGTAAGTTACTGTAAACAAACATCACTGAAACTGCATCTGTGTTATAAGTTACCGTCGTTGGCTGTATGTGTGTTCAAACACAAACAAGCTCAAATATTAGCAGTTAAACTGTCGTTACATTACTAACGTTAGCTTTAGAGATGTTGATTAAATAAAGCTTTGGCTACACCTGAATACAAATGGTGCCTATTTGGTTAGCTAACTATAATCTGCAACATACGTCTATTAAATGGTAACATTTAAAACTCTACCCGACTAACACAAGTAAGGTTACAGGTGTAAGACAGCGGGTTGACGTTAGCTTCGAGCCCTGCTAGGCTAACAGTGCTAGCTACAGTGTATGTTTACTGGAAACCAGCCGTTGGTCAACAGCCGTCGTCCGAGCCAGTGAGCCAAAATGGCGGCCACTGTCGCCGTATGAACGACCGACTGAATGCAGACTCTTCTCTGTTTCAGGGATATGAACAGAAAAGTTGTGTTGAGGCGAAGTTTACTTGAAACACCACTTCCGACGAGGGAAGATGTCGTCATAAAACTGCGTCCCTCGACTACATGACTTATTTATTTATTATGGATATTTTATTTTATATTTAATGTCTAACAGCACAGAACACTAAAGAGTGAGCACGGTAACTGCAGGAAGATTGTGTGAAAGGATTTCATGGTGGTGAATTTTAATTTTGAACAAATTCTTTCCTGTTAATATTGATCAGAGAGTTTTACTGATATTTATTATACTTTTTATACAGTTCTCTGTCTGTATATATATATATATATATATATAATAGTCATACACACTTAATATGCTTCTTTCAGACAAATTCAGTGTTTTGTTCTCGTTGTACTATTTACTCTTTTACTGCTGTTTTCTAATGCAGGACGAGGCTGCTTATGGGAGAGTAAAGGCTCTGAGAATATAGCTTTTGTTCAGGTATTCACAGATTAGATCCGAAATAATAATCTAAACTTTAAAAATAACAATTCCATTTAGTTTTCTTCACAGAAATGAACAAAATGCTTCCCCGTGAAGCTTTGGCGACCCCTAATGGGGGTCCCTGACCTCAGATTGGGAACCACTGTTCTGAACCATCTCTGCCTTATCGTGACCCTTTTGTTCACCTCTCGTTAAGACTTCTGTACAATAAATTAAAACATTCGGTGAAGGATGCCTGTATTTATACATTTGCTGTTTTGATGCATCTACTCCCAAACACAGAAAAAGTTGAGTCGTAATCCATCAATTCAAATTTTTTTATTGACATCTATAGTTCAGGTTTTGTTGTTTTTTTCAGTAAATATTATTTGAACATTTGAATAAGCACCTTCCAACACGTATGCACCAGTAAAAACCGCCACCTTTTTCAAAACAAAATTTGATTCAAGATTTTAGAAGAGTTTTAGCACATTATACATGTAACACTGGGACATTGTAACCACCCCCAAACTCCACAACCAGTTAATGAGAGGGAGCCCATCTGATGACTCTTCCACTCACACAGCTTTATTTTGAAACCAGATCAGGTCAAGGGAAATGATTCCTGTGTGAAGGTAGACTGGAAGGACCAGAGCAGTCTTAATTGGTGGCTATTTGTAAGACTAGTGCTACCAGACATACAGGACTGAACAACTGAGGAGGCCATGGCATTCAGTTGAACCTGCCTCTCTAAAATCTTCTCTTATAAGTAATAATTCAGAAGATGAGAACCATGAGAACGGTCTATTAAACATTTCTGAAAAACCCATAGCCTGAAGCAAAGAGAGAGAGAGAGAATGAAACATAGTAATAATAATAAAAGATTGGAGGAGGCCTTGATTTCATTCATTTTTCTTGCCAGTAGTCGCCTTAGCATGAACTGCGAAGGTTTCTGCCACTAATAAGGGGAAGATTATGGTAGCATCTCCAAACACCTGGAAAGACACAATGACAAGATGTGTATTAAAACCTCAGAGAACAATATCAATCCATCTTAACAGCTTGATCTAGTCTTTAGGACTAGTAAATTACCTTGACTTTAATGTATTGGATAGATAGACAATAGAAAAAAATACTTAGGTAGAAAAGATAAAAAAGATAAATAGGTAGATAAGGTGCAAAAAAGTTGTAGTTGCAAGATGGTGGTAATAGTACTGATGATATGATGGTAATAATACCCAATATTAGTATAAAAGATACCTTCACAGGTTTAGCATCTGCTGTGATCTTGCCCCAGGACACTGCCTCATCAGGTCTGGCCCCTGAGTCACAGCCATCAAACTCCTGGGCCGTGTTCACGTACACCGCGTAGTCAGCTCCATCCCTCTGGAAGAAGACACAGCAGTGTGTTAAAGGACCAGTGTGTAGGGTTTAGTTTCATGTAGGAAAAACTACGGTGTGGATGAAACTCGCAAAAATGTGAAAGGCCCCATCTAGAGCCAGTGTTTGATTTGTCAGTTCTGGGCTACAGTAGAAACATGGCTCACTATACACTAATGAAAACAAGTGTGTCCGTGTGTGCAAAATGCTAAATACATACCCATGCATTGGCATTGCATATGTGGTGTTTGGCCAGACCTCCTCCCAGGATGATCATCCCTGTGCTGTTGGCAGCCACTGCAATGTTGTTCACCTTTGATACATCTGAAATCAAATGCATTGTGATAAACAAACTAACATCCTGAAGACAAACGAAGTAAGCAGAGATGAAGACTCTTTCACCTTCAATTATGTCCAATATCAAGCCAGGGTTTTTAGCTGAGAAGAGGTAGAACATGTCTCCGATAGCGCCGTCAGTCAGTCCAGGGCTGAACACCGGGATGTTATTCTGAAACAGACACCTCATCACTTCTCAGTAACTGTATAAAATAAGATATAATTTCAGCAGTTGCAGCTGTTCCCAGATCACCAGATCACTCACCTTGTAGGCCCAGTAGCAAACAGATTCAGGGTTGTTGATCTCCTTGCCCAGTCGATGGATCATCTTAGATGGAGTCCAGCGAACGCCCTGAGTGAAGAAACATCTCAGAAAAATCAAACTATTGTGTGAGCTGAAGGCAAAAACAGGGACCAGGACACCTCAAGTGCCACAATGAAAAGAATAGCATTAGAAATTCCTCCTTCATAATGTTGTTAAATGGTTTGAATTTTTACACTGTATAAACGAGATTGTAGGAAAACAGAGATGTTCAAAACACAGTCCCCACACCTGAGTGTTCTGCTCCACCAGCATCTGCTTTAAGATCGGCATCATCCAGTCATCAAATTTACTGTAGTTTTCTTCAGGCATCAGAGTGTTTCCAGTCCTGCAGCCAAAAGGAAATGCAAGACAAATTAATACTCCTCAATAATGCTGGCAGTGTAAGTGAGCCATGTTAACATTAGTGTGTTATACTCTAATACATTAATCTGAAATACTCTCTGACCTGTTAAGGCCTTTTTGATACAGATCCTTTCCGGACATTGTAAAGTCTCCAATGTACACTGGGCCCAAACACTTGATCAGATCCTCCTCTATACCTCCAGCTGTGGTCACTAAGACATCCACCTACACAGAGACAGAAATATATTATATCAAGCAACATAAGTAATGTGCTGTTCTTATACTGTATTTTTTAAAATTCTGATTCTACTGTCCATTACTTTCATTCAAATGTTTCCGGTGAGGTTGTTTTAATAAGTGCAGTTTAACAATTACAGTTCTAACAATACCACCACAAGTGGCAAAAGAGAGGAATTATATTCATTTGTTATATTCAAGCGTTGCCTCCACCATGCATGCAATTTACATAGCATAAACTTTCATATATTTCTATTATCTTATGTATTTGAGGAGGTTTGTACCATTTTGTGCTCTGCAAGGTAGCGAATACTCTCCCTGACACCACAGCTGATGAGGTTTGAGGTGTAACTAAGGAAGATGGTGCAGCTCATGAGGCAGGGACAGCTTGATGGATCTTCCTTAACAAATGCACTCCCTGCCTTCACAGGTTGCTGACGCCTCTCGATCTGTGGATGTGTAGTGGATTGCAAACAAGTTATGCACAAAAAACTGATAAAATGGTAGATCGTAGATCAATTATAACATTTAGAGGCAAACAGCATGCATTCACACACACACACAACAAATTAAAAGATAAACTAAACAAATATGTATTGAGTAAATACTGAAAAAACTATCGTATAGGCACGAAACTCAAAATTGAAAAATGAATTTACAGCAACGTTTTGATTGAACTCTCTAAATTTGGAGAAGAAGGCTGTCCTGTGACCTGAGGACCTTGATATAAGTACAGTATGTCAGGTAATATATATCATGGGGCCAGACCATTAAGTGATTTAAAGACCAGGAGCAACATCTTAACGCCATTTCTGTAAGGAAGTAAGCAGTGGAGATGTTTGAGAATCAGGGGAAGACCAGTAAACTTGGCATTGCAGTCATCTGGTTTGCTGATTATAAACGCATGGACAAGTGTTTCAGAATAAAAAACATCAAATATTTTAGATATTCCTAAAATGATTGGAGGCTAGCTTGATGATGCTACTTATGTACGAATACAAATTCAGATCAGTGTCAATTAGAACTCCTGTCTTTTGCACCTAACACTATGGTTTCAGTTTTCATTCTGTTCAGCTGCAGAAAGTTTCAAAACATCCAGTGATAGATACAGTTCAAACTAAACAGTGAATAAGTGCTCATGTTTTCAGGAGATACTAAAATGTAAAGTTGAATATCATCTGCATAGCTGTGATAACTGATCATGTGCTTGCAGATCATAGAGCCAAGCAGCAGCATAACGATTAAACAGAAGAGGTCCAAGAATGGACCGTTGCCGCATTCAACCCATAGTCATGTGGTTAGGGTTAACAATCGATCGTTCAGTTCTTTAAACACATATGTAGTGTTGCTAGTAAACAAAGCGCAACAATGCCTGTACAGCGGCTGCTACTGGCAGCGTCTAAATTTTGGACCGGTTAATTTGCCACGTTCTCCTGGTGTAGCACCCATCTCACCATGTTGTTGATCTCCTGGACAGCCAAGCCAAACCTGGTAGCCTGAAAGCCTGTGTTAAGGTAGGATTGCAGCAGAGCTCGATGGTCCACTCCCTGGTTGAAGTCATAGCCCCGGACCTTTGGTGTATCCTCTGATATGGGGTCAGTTTGTCTGTAGATATCCCCAGATATTTGGTGGATATGGTGTGCCATATTGTCTGAAAGAACAATAACACACACCTGGAAGTAGTAGCAGTATTTTAATGGAAATGAGCTTCATCACAGCACAGCACAGCACAGCACAGCACATGAATGAGGCAAAGAGATAAATGCAACTCAGAAAGCCAGTAGCCAAATGGGGGGCTGCCAAGAATGGCCAGTGCCACCCCTGATAACTGATAGTCCACCCCAAATTTCTGTAACATCACTGTCTGACTGGAAGTTCCACTCAGTCACAGTAACTTCACATGAAGTGTTAGCAGCAGGGTTAGCAGTTGTGTTTTGGCATTGAGGCTCCAGTAAATATTGAGTTAATTCCTTCATATTGATATCATTAGGTTATCACCTTCAATACATTAGTCCTGAATTTAAAATTTTAAAGAAAACACTAGCCCCAGAAAACAAAAAATATGTACATCATCGTCAGTAGTCTATGCCTAAAGCCATTCATGTAATCAATCAAATTCTGTGGTGGCTCAGACTATTGGTAACCACTTTGCAAAACTGCCAATGTTTCACGTACCAAGTGCCCAAAAACAAAGTCATTTGGACTTAATCCAGTGCACACTTTAACCTCTTTCACAGCCAGAATCAATCAAGGCAGACAATCTTCCCAGTCATGATTAAGTTCTGTGTAGTAGGCACTGTTAGAGATGAGAGTCAATGTGCTGACTTCTGTGTATTGTTGAATGCCACACCTTGAAAAACCTGTCCATTTGAATGGCAACGTCAGTCTGTATGTCTGCAGTCTGAAGTTTGAAGAAGGTGCCTGCACTACTCATGGAAAATAAACCAATTTGGTCACATGGGAGCAAGTAGTTTCATAACAACAATACTTTATTTATATATAATTTATCAAAAACAAAGTTACAACATACATAAAACAACAAATTAGCCTGCCAGATCTGCTTTGGGTCCTGTGTTTACAGAGGATGTAACACATTAACACACTGTGATTCTCCGAGGGGCTCTAACAGAAAAAAGTCACTTTTAGTTTTGAGCTGCGACTCTGGGACGGATAATTGAGTTACTGTTGTGTCCTCAGGGGCTGACGTTTAAACTGTACCTGTGTTTAACTCTAAACTCAGCTGCTGTGTCTTGTACCGTGGTCGTAACTCAGTTAATGCAAGTACGCAACTTGAGTATTTCCATTTGAAACTATATGCTTCTACTTCATACATACATCTACATTACAGAGGCAAATATAGTACTTTTTACTCCATTACATTTGTCTGATCGCTTTTTTCCCCCATACCCATCCTATCCAGTGTAACCATCTCTAAATTTGGTGATTTGAATTTTACATTTTTGATGAACTGAAGAAGTGTTCCTTTATGGGTTGAGGAACACTTACTTCTTAAACTACAGAAACTATTTAAAATCCCATTTAAAATCCCTCTTGGATTATCTTGAAAATGAATTGTCACAAAGTTGAAAATAGAAGATACATAATTCTCACAGGACAGTGATGCTATAAATATGATCTTATAGAATATGATGCATTGCTATAGACTAAACCCAACAATATACAAAGTAGTTAAAATTAGTGCAGCATACACAATAATGCAGCAGTAATATTAATCCAAAAACTTGATATAATAGTAAAATTCTGACAGGAAGCATTTTACTGCGTAAAGAGTACTTTGTGATACTTTAAAGTAAATTTTTTTGATAATAATTCACATACTTTTTCTTTAAGCTTGTAGTAGAGTATTTTCAGTGTGGTGTTTGTACTTTAACTAGCCCACTTGTTTAAATTCTGTTGGTTTAAAGCTTTCAAATACCCTTGTAATTCTTATGTTAGCTAGAAGAAAATTGTAGAGGCAAAATATTCTACAGTATGATCTACATCTGTTACAAATATACTTAAATTGTTGTGATAACAAGCAGTTATCTATAAAGGTTGAGTTGTTCAAAGTGCTGGATATATAAATATATACAACTAATATTCTTTCATCCTTAAGTAATAGAAACTGTTAAGTTAAAAGGTTGTGTAAATACTTAAATCAAAATGTTTTTTTATAGTGGCCATCAGACATTTACTTAACTCTACATTGTCAACTTGAATGAGCTTCCCATTGGTCTAAATTGGACCTCAGACAGCTTTTTTTTAGTCTGAACTCCATGTCGGAGTTATACTCAAATGTCACTTTATTTGCCAAATGAGGGTGGTAACATGCGTAGAGATTACGTGGTTTCTAGTCTGACCCACACAGATAAAGTTTCAGTCACACAAGACAAATTTTCCAGTCGACACAAAGCTTAATAGAAAAAAAATTTATTTTCCCCTATTCACAAAAAATTAAATAAAAAGGGATACATCAGATAACATCCCACCTGCACCACAGTTGAGCAAAAAAGAAAAGGTACTACATCAAATTCAATTGCCAGCCTTGATATCAGATTGAAACAAAGTTATGAATTAGTTTTCCACATTCTTCCCTACAGGTATGCACCAAGCACCGACTCTCCTTCAGTCCAACCACATCAAATTTGACATAATCAAATGGTCCGCTATAAAACAACGAAAACAAATTATTCTTTAAACAAAAAGAATAAAAAAAAAAGAAAAAAAAACTTTTAAAGTCCAAAACAATTTGTGCCACTGGAGCACAAAAAAATAAAAACAAAATAAAACAAATCAAAAACAAAAAATAAATAAAAACAAACCAAAAAAAAGACTGTCACATGAGCATCAAAATAAAAAATTAAAAAAAATAACCTGTGGACAACTTGCATTTAAATTTACCTTACTGTATATAGCTTAGTGTATCGCAACATAGCGAGGAGTGGTAAAGTCTCAACTTTTTTTTTTACCGATTCTTTGTGGCACAGGAGCTGCATCCTTCTCAAACATTCTGGTAATTAATGCTTCACCAGCTGCTGCTCCGTGAACATCTGTCCAGCCTGTGATCAATGAGTGGCCACTTCATATCTCAATACTTGCACACATTGGTAACACTTGTGCTACAAAAAGAAAACTCCATGTCACGATGGTTTGAGGAAAAAAAAAAAAAAAAAACACATCAAATCTTATTCTATAAAATTCATAATCTATTGATGTGAGCAGATATTCACGAAAACGTTATTCTCAGAAAGGGAAAGATTTTGGTGTTTCCCCCCAAATTAGTGACAGTTTTCATCTTCAGGCAAATGTTGATACTCCCCAGTGGCCACGTCGTCTCAGGCGTGACTCAAACTATGCCCTGGACATAACTTTATTTGTAGGGCTGGTGCAAAGTTACATCTAAGCGGTACTCGCGTATACACCTTTATAGTTAAACACCAACAGGCAAACAGCCATACACACTTCCATTACAACCGTCCACTATGGACAATGACTAAAAGATAAAGCTGGATAAAGACCACTCTCATAAACTAACCAGTGTCATGGGGAGAACTATTAGGACTCGGAGTCAGTGTATTCCCAGGCATATCCTACACAGTATTGACGGGTGAATATATGGCAACAATCACTAGTTTGATCAGAAGCTGGAGAAGTACCTTATTAATCCAGCAGCGAGTTGCATTTTCCATTGACAAAGCTCTTATAAGGTAGATCCCTCCAAACGGACCTGTTATAAAATGACTAAAAAAAAGGAGCAAGACTCGTTGAAAAGCATGCAATGTTCATGACAAGGAGAAGCCTTGATGGCTCAAGCAGCCATCGTTTAACAAAAAGCTTTGATGAAAGAGACATCCTCGAAACACATATGGATTGACAGGTGCACTGGGACATGGATCCAAAATACTGTCATTAAGATGTCTCCCCCCCTCTTAAATCCTTTTCAATCCATTTTTAAAAAAGGAGCTACATTATAAAACTAACTATGTTAAGAGGCCTCAAGTCTTACCCTAGTCATTTTACCATTGCTTAACATTATCATCATTATGCTTACTTTAGCAAGCCATTAACAGTCCTAAAATCACTTATCAAAAAAAAAAAAAAAACTATCTCAAGATCAGTATATTATTACTGTACGTCTTACATTTGAAATTCTAAATTTCTTACAAAAGAAAAAAAGTGCATTTATATCAGTAAGAACCAATTCATTCTTGGTGATGTCTTATCGCTCTCATTAAGTCCGTTTCGTAAATACTCTAAAAACGAAGCAGCAGCAGCAAAAAGGATTCTCAACAGTATTTGAACTCTTGTTGCAATGAGTGATTTCTCTAAACAATAGGACATGAGTCGATTCCTGTATTAAATCTACCTATAGTTGGTCTTCACACACAGTCTCCATTTAACTATAGGGACATTGATTAGACAATATGGATGAATGGGAGGACAAAAGAACCAAGCACGGACATATTCAAATTATGGCAGCCTCCCCATACTGACAATTAATGTAATAAATCAAGTGGGCAACAAGACAGACATACACTCAAACATGCGTCACTTAAGAGGTGATCATATGCCATGCAATAACTTGGTACTGCGGTGGTAAAACCTTAGAGAACAGACCTAATGCATCTTTTTTTTTGGCCTCAAATGAGGGGAAACAAAGAAACCTATGATTCAAGAGGAATTCAGCAACCACAGGAAGAGGAAGGAACTTAAACTCTGCTAAATGTACATGTGAAAAGAGAATAAAGACCCATGTATATGCACCCCAAATTGTTTTTGCAATTTCGCCATAAAAGGTGCAAAACATTTGTGCACATTTCCTGCAGTTACATAGTTAAAGCGTCTCATGTTTTTTTTGTGTGTGTATAGCCTCTGGCAAGAGCCTGTTTAAACTCATCTACATGTTTTATTATTTTATTTATTTGACAGGGACAGTGCACAGCTTTTTAGCTGTACCAGAGTTAGCTATAGGCTCATTTACATCTGTAGTCCCTGGGCAGGAAACAGAGAATGGCATCTCTGTTTAGTAAATAACGAGTCATGTGCAAGTCATTCTCGGACTACGTGCAGTGTGGTATTTGGGACTGTGGCACCATATGCTGGTTCAGATAATTCCGTTTTATGTACCTATCTGACAACCCCCGCCCCCCCCCTCCCCTCCCAGCTGTCACCTATCTTAACAGAATAATCGAATCGAGGAGGGGAGGTCAAAGCCAGCCCCTATTTTTGTCCTCATCTACCTAGGATCCCTGCGGTGCTGTTGGCGAAAGTCACTTTTGAGTGTGTTGGATTTAGTGAGGCGTTTCATCCGAGAGGTATATGTATATCCCCAGTTTACCCTCCCACACCCACCACCCTCCTCCCACCCTCCCTTACAGAGACACACAGGGCGCGGGGGGAAAGGGGGCCATCCGCTGAGTGGAGGATCAAGGCCAGTCACATCCCTCCAGCTCTTGTTTCTCCCCCACAATCTGGGCAGTGCAATGAGTTCCCCAGTAACCCTCCCCTACATTAACCTAAAAGACAAACAGAGGAACGGAGAAAATAGATTAAAAAAAAAATCACATTACATGAACAACTAGTAAACGTAGAGCTGGTGTGAATGGTTCATGGGATAAAAGGATGAAGCGGTGTGAGTGAAAAGTGTGATTCTGGATCAGAAAATATATTTTGGGAACAAAATGTATCACTGCTTATCAATGAGCTGGGATTTTCATCACTTCCAGAAAGGGGGTCTGGGGGGTAAGGTTGCTGAGAAGTTTGCAGAACATACCTAACAGGTTGGTGTCCTGTGTGGACCAGGGGGTGGTTGGTTAGACACCGTAGCAGGCCGACAGGCGCTCCTTCAACAGAGGAGGAAACTGCTCAGAGAACTGCTGCCAGTTCTCTTCCCCAACCTGGTCCTTGAAGCCATGCAAGATCTTGGAAATGAAAACAGAAAACAGCCATGGAGGCCGAGTGAATATCGAAAATAGTAGGTTAAAGGATGAATTTGAGGTGTAGTTTCTATGAGTGGACAATCAACGTTCAGGGGTGGGGTTCAAACATCCATCCAACAAACAGTGGATGTTTGTCATTTACCAACACCCACTGGACACAGTTGATCACCTCAGCTACTAAAAACAAAACTTATTTATATTATATATAATTCCTGCCAATAGACCCTCCTAAATGTTTTATACTGGACCTTTAAGTAATAACTGCTCTGCCTCCCCAAACAGCAAGATCTACCCGCACGTCTCAGATTTAAAAATCATCCACACCTTGTAATCAGATTTCGAATGTCTGATAAGTGATCATCACAGAGTGTGGGTGAGCAAGAGCTACACTTGGGGAGGGATCATTTCAATTAAAACACCAGGTCATCTAAAATAATAGAATCCATCCATCAAGCTCAATGTGTCTGACAAGATGGGAGCAGGGATATGGTATTCCTTTTCATGAGGCACTCACCTTATAAAACATGTCCCTCAGGTCATCCTTGGGGTTGACCCAGGAGGCCACAGCGTCACAGAAGAAAATGAAGTCCTGGACAGGAAGAACGTGTTAGTTCATTACACAGTGAGGCTTATCTATCTAACCTCTGTAGCTCCAACAGCTTTTAAAGCCCCTCGTCTCACCTGCACCACCCCTGCAGGGTTGACGCCGATCATCACACAGATTCCCCGGAAGGCCGAATCCTTCTCCTCGTTATCTCTGATGTTCCTCAATGATGTGCACCTGAGAAGAGATAAACCAAAGTGGAAAGTATTAAATTAAATCACTCCTCTGCTATGGGACTTTAAATTACTCAAGTTTCCTGCAAATGTAAGTTCTTTCTAAGTTCTTTGGATTTGGCCTAGAAAAGAAATTAATATATTTATTCTAAATCATTAAGCTGGGTATTTCATGACATTCAGATACTGTTCACACATGTGACTCACCATGGTCTAATGAATTGCTGCAGCTGTGGCGCCACTTCCTGGGGACAGACGTAACCCAGCCTGCCGATCGTAATGGCTGCACAAAAGAAAAAACAATTCACTTTAACTCTTAAAATGTGACCATCAGATGCTTTACAATGTTTGAAACAAATCTCCGACTGATTCAGTGCATGTAGGTCCATGTGTGTACCTGTGTTTTCCAGCAGAGTCTTGGGTGTGTTGGGTCTATTGATGATTTCCACAAGGTGAGGCAGAACCATGCCCACATAAGGCTGCATCTCTGCACCTGAAGACACACAGTAAAGAGCAAGCACGCCATCAAACGTGTGAACAAACAGTCAAAATGTTACACTTAACTTTGATGCCCATCAGGCTTGAGACACTGATCGCCACCCACCGGTAAGAGGAGCACAGAGAAAAACAAAGGAAACTCTCGTGAAATAAGCAAACCTGTTTAACTATGGTAGATCACCAACTCCATTAGTAAGAAACTGACTGAGAAGCTTTAATGGCCTTTAAAAGTCAAACCAACCATCAAGGACACAGGTAGGTTCAAATATATTAAAAACACAGGCGGATGACTTGATCACTAATAAAAAGTGGTCTGAACAGTAATGGTTGGACAGAGTGCTTTATCCATTGAATGCTGCTGCAGAGTGACCAATATTCTGTACTATATCTCCTTTTGTTACAGGATAAATTCAACCCGTACAACAGCTGCCATCGTTGTGTTAAGGTGTCCGCAAATTCAATTGCCTCAACAAAGGCAAATGTGGCCCGAGCTAAACTAAAATAACTGTACAGTCTTTGGGTGATTTTTTAGCAGATAGTTTAAAAAAAAAAAAAAAAAAGGGGGGGGGCAAGTATCAACATCTGTAAAAGAAGAAGCTCATTTGATTTTGCAGTCTTTGGTCTGAAAGACCTGCTCACCAGGACAATCCCTTGTTTGCTGCTTGATACTTGTGCCTGTAAGGAGATCACAGTGTGTCACTGGGCTGACTGAATCATGTGCAATGGCTTGCAAGGCATGCATCCACGCACACACATGCTCACACAATGTGCAAGCAAGATAAGGCTGTTTTTTTTTTCTCAGTGCTGTACCATTTGATGGCACAAGTGTTAAGACAGACCAAAGAGGAACAGCACACTGCATGACCCACTTTCACAAATCAGGCAAGGTACGCCAAAATCCTAATTGCATATAATGGACTAAAGAGGATTTGTACATGGAGCGCTTTGGTAGCTGAATGGTTACAGAGAATGCCACATGGCCACACGGTTGCTACAGTCTTTGGTTTGTTTCCAGCTGGCAACCTTTGTTGCATGTCATAACCCTCTATCTCCCCGTTTCCTTTCTGATTCTTCCCCTGTCCAATGAAGGCAAGAATTAGCAATAAATAATCTTGTACAGCTACAGTCTACAGCTACAGACAACTGTTCTGCCAGGAGTGAACTGCAGAAAACTGCAAAACTAATCTGTCACCTAGAGAAACATGAGGATGCATGAGGTGTGCGATATCTGGATCAGAAAATAATAGGAACAAAATGTATCATTGTGTTTCAATGAGCTGGGTGTTTCATCATTTCCAGATACTGGGCACTTGTTTTCAGTGAATGCAACAATTTGTAAAAGCAAAAAACAAAGCAAAAAACTAAAAACTCACCCATTTGCATGGAGATCTCTCCAATGGCCCAGGTGGCATTGTTACACACAGAGATAAACTCTGGATTCAGGTTGAGCCCCAGGATGGGCATGAACTCAGCTGATAGGAGGACATGGACACAAAGTGGTTACAATACAAGCAATATACAGAGAGTAAAGGAACGGTGAAGTAATTCAATCTACTCGTGGACCGAATTACTCAGCGCTTTGATGAAGCACACTCACCAATGCAGGGCTTAACATGGAGGAAACACGCCTTGGTTAGATCACCAAGCAGAGCGAAGGAGCTTTGCCTCACCTCAGGCATAGTATCCTGCAACACGAACCAGACACTGTAGTGTTATACATGTACAATAAATATATGGAAATAAACTGCAAAACACACTCCCTCATACCTGCATGCACTGGAAAAGCAGAGTCATGATGTTTGAGCGGGCCACTAGCTGCTCCACATGACCCCCCAAACCTTCAGCCAGTCCGCTCAGCAGGTCCAAGGCCACAATCATAAAATCCTTGTCAGGAGCCTCATACTGGTCTGGATGCTGGTTGTACATCTGTACAGACAGAACATACATTTCTTGTAAAATTTAAGCATTTTTCAAGTACTTTCAAAACCAAACATTTCCAGACTCTCAAGAGCCTTTATCATCACATCATTACCAAAAAGGCAACTGAGAAAAAGAAAGCTTACAGAATACTTTTAGCTAGCTATTTTAAGCTATGAATAAGTGAACACGCCAGGAGACAACAAATAGACGAGATTGTGTAATTTCAAATATTAAAACGATTTTTGGTTTACATGATACACATGATTTTGTAAATGAAACACCAGATTATGTCGAAAATCAAGCATTTTTCAAGGAGCATATTCAAATTCAAGCATAATCCTACCCTTGAAGACAAAGTTTAAAATTAAGTACTTTCATGACTTTGTATGAACCCTGTAAATTTTATGTATGCATGCATGTGTTTCCACTCACCATTGCCTGAGCTAGTGTCTTCTGGACTAGTGTGACACAGCGCTGATAGACAGGTTCACAGTAAGGCAGGAACCCACTCTGCAGGGCGGTGGCTACTGACGACAGACACTGGAAGAAACACAAAGATGACTTGTAGAAACACAGACGTACAGTTTGTTGCCTGCACAATAAATTACCTAAAAAGTAGTCAAAACCTTTATTAATGTAATTGTTTTTGGCAGGAGAGACTCCTTAAAGCAAATGATTTCTTTTGTGTTGTTTCCGTGTTAAAGAACAGTTTGAAATAGATTTGTACACGACTACAGCGATAAGACAACTGTTCTACCAGGCGTTAACTGTAGTGTTCTGCCAAGTTCCAAGAACCACAATCAAAATGACACAGGAAAGACAAAGCCAGTGTGGTTTACACAGCCCTGCAGACCAGTTTGCATACAAGCACAATGTAAACCTGAATGCACTCAGCACGAGGTGTGCGACATCTGGATCAGAAAATATTAGGAACAAAATGTATCATTTTGTGTCAATGAGCTGGGTGTTTCATCATATCCAGGTACTGCGCACTGGTTTTTAGTAGACGGTGTGAACTAAAGTGTGAAAGAGCAATTACAATGTAAAAAGAGTCTGTTTTCAGAAAAATGTGCCTGAATAAAAACATCTTGTGGTGCAAGTATTGCCTTAAAAATAAACTTCTCACCTCTAGTAGTGGGAAGAGATCTTTGTCTTCATCCTTCAGCTCGTTCCACTTGGCAATAAGTGGGGGCATCAACTTCTGAATGTACTCCTGAGAAACAATATAAACACCAAGTTTTAGTTTTCCTCATTTTTTGCTGAGTTGGATGAGAAGATTGTTCTTGCACATGGTGAAACATGCATAGCGCAGGTCTAAATTAATTTCACAGGCACTTACAGGCTGATTAAGGTGGTGACCCACTGAGTCTGCCAGAGTTCCTATGGCATCGTAAAGAATAAGGAGATTCTTGTGCTGGTACTTCCCAAACGCAAACACCAGCGTGTCCAGGATAAAGCTCAGGTATGGCACCAGCTCTGTGCATGCTTCCTCCTCCAGGGTGGCAAACGCACTAAGAAAGGCAAGATGAAGGAAAAGGGGGGCATATCAATATTAGAAACATAAAAATGCAGTCCTATATACATGTATTTCAGTTTAAGAATGATAATATAGGATGTGGATCAGAAAATTATAGGAACAAAGTGTATCATTGTTGATCAATGAGCTGGGTGTTTCATCATATCCACACACAAAAGACAGGAGGCGTGTGAAGCTGCTTACCTGCAGGCAGCCTCCTGCACCCTCTTGTTGCCGTCCAGGATACGTTTAAGAAGCTCTGTCATAAGCGGTTTGAGGTAGGAGTCGGGCGGCTGGGAGACCACCCAATGTGCATAGCGACTCAGGGTCCAACAGGCAATGGAGCGCACAAGGGCCTTTTTGTCGCAAAGACACTGGATGAGGTGGGGGATCAGTTCCGGCAGGTAGGGCACCATGCCCTGCATGCAACCTGAGGGTTGGAGAGGAGCGAATAACAAAAGGAGAGTAACATATATTAGTCTCTCTACTATAATACGCAGATGTACTTTGTTTATGTTAACTTGCTGCACTGTGCCTTAATTCTGATCTCAGTGCTGATAGGTACATAGTTGCACATGAGCCTTCTATATCTTGAATTGCAATAAAGAGCCTAAGTGCCACATTCTCATCAGGGTCCTGGGTCTCTGCAGCATGTACAACAGGAGATGAGAAAAGTTCACACAGAGTAGGGGAGAAAACGCAGCGCAGCACATTGGCATATCTGGATCAGAAAATATAGGAACTTTGGGTATCATTGTAAATCAATGAGCTGGGTTTTTCATCATTTCCAGATGCAAAAATTGTTCTCCCACACCTAACTACATGGACATATAACAACTCCAAAGCTGTTGAACAACATTCAAATACATTTCTGTGCCTGTAAACAAGCAATTACACAAGACACTTAAAATAACAAGGATTAGAGACAACAATCTGTCAGATCTGATAAGAAATCTCTTGTTTTGGTGACAACTTACCCTCAGCTATAGCCCCCAACACCAGGATGCCAGACTCCTTGATGACCCAGTCGGGGTGGAAGAGCAGGCCTTTCAGGAGAGGCAGGAGGTGGGGCAGCAGCTCGTCGCGGAACACGTTAGCCAGCACGTCCAGTGCTGCAGCTGAACACTTTCCTACATCAAAAAAGAAAAACCCAATTACAATCTCCCTTAAATCCTCAACCTGCTGGTTTTTGTTTTATTAATCAGGTGACCTGACAGCAGGTGTTTTAGTTTTCTTAAAATTAAATATACTTGACACCTGAGCTATTCAAACAAGGTTCTCTCTCCAGTGTTTTTCTAACATTCTACTTTTATTAAAATGAATGTGCAACCTGCAGAGAGAGACATGAAAGACTAGAGAAGATACGCCAAGGACACGAGGTGGATTCAGACCTAAAGCCTGACAAAATGTAAAACAGCCTGCAAAGTCACCAGAAAGCCTCTTTCCATATTTTGGCAAATCACTGTAACAGCATTTCTCAATCACTTACGCAGGTTCCAGTCAGACAGCGTGTCGTCATCATCGTCATCATCTTCTTCAATGTCCTCACCCTCCTCGCCCTCCCCTCCTTCGTGCTGCAAGGTGACTGTGCGCGACTTGTGGAAACGGGGCTTTATGTCCTGATCACTATCTGGAACTGCCTCGTCCTCCTCCACATCTCCCTGGACAGACACAAATTTCACTTCAGCTATGCATCATATAAAAGCATATTTCTAAACGTGTAGGTCCTGTAAAACAGTACAAGAGGAAAGAGAGCTTACCTTTAATAGTATGATGTCTATCTCTGAATACTTCATCCCATTTACCAAGATAGGTGTCAGTCTATAAGGAGGAGAGAAGGAGGAGACTTGCTTGGTGAAACAGCCAACAAACCTCATGTACAAATTGATATGGGGTTGATTCAGTACTACATCTGAGACCTGGGCGTTTAGAGAAGCTATAGCAAAAGTTCAACTTTTATTGTGACTAGGGACATCACGAGAACTGAAATTCTTTGGGCCTGACCACATATACGCCTACAAATATTCTAGTCTGCCATTAAATACCACAGGAAGAAGAATAACATGTACAAGAGGGCAATTAAGTGCAACATATATCATATTATTAATATAGTAGATCTAAAAAACACTATGGAACAGCTTGGTTGTAGGGAAATGAGACATTTTGACCATGGTATCAACTTAGTATCAAGAATTGTGGAATTTCACTGGTATTGGTATCGACTACTAAATTTCTAGTATCGTGACATCTAAATCTTTAAGTGTAAAAGAATAGATCACACTAGCACAGAATATACTTTTGTTATCTTGCATAATCAGAACAAACAATACAGTAACAGTAGTTAATATGCTACTCACTGCACCAGGTGTCCAGACAGCATCTCCTTACAGATAGGTTGCTCTGCCAAAGTCAGCCAAAATTCACAGGCCTCCAGAGCCACGTTCTCATCGGGGTCCTGGGTTCTCTGCAGCATGTACTGCAGGAGATGAGGGGGGGGAAAACGTGTGAGCTGACACAATATCAAAAAATAAAGCGGTGATTGAAAGAAAACCACAACTGTTATGCAATCGAGTAGCACACAGCCGAATCTGGATCAGAAAATATAGGAACTTTGGGTATCATTGTAAATCAATGAGCTGGGTGTGTCATCATTTCCAGATGCAAGACAGACTTCCACATCTATGTATACAAACGTACAACAGGCCTACAGTTGATCGGGAGGTTTTCTAACACTTACCTGGATGATGCTGTGCATGTGGGGGATGAGGCGGTCAATGCGGACCTCCAGCAACATGACCAGGGCTCGGCAAACATTCTTTCGAACCTCAGAGTCCTCATCTGCTGCCAGCGCAAACAGGCTCTAATAGGGCAGATGAGGGGAAAAAATAATTTAAAAAAACTCAAGAAAATGGGTGGACACAGACAGGAAGTCCTGGTTTAATTACACAGCTCTGCTATACATACACACAGCTTACCTCTATGAAGGTGTCAATATGGTCCATTAGAGCCTGGGCTCTGCCAATGATGAACTGGTTCACACAGGCTATGGCATGGGACCTATAGGGAGAGGAGGAACATTAACAGTTGAGTCAACCTGAGAGGTGGATTATTGTTAAATAAATGGGATTTGTGTTTATACTGGGGGAAATTAGTGGACTATGCTTACAGGGTACCCTCTAAGAGTTGTCTTGAGAGTTCTAATTTAATCCTATTAGCAATTAATGTCACTAACTAATTCACCAATGTGAGGGGTTAAGTGAAAATCTGGATCAGACAGTATGAATACAAACACCTTCACAGTCAGTCAGATGTTATTATGCATCACACCCAGACGCTAATGACAGAATCAGAAACCAGTCGCTTTTGTTCCTGTACCTAATCTTGGGGCTGCAGTGCTTGAAGAACTGAAGGAATTTGGGAATCATAATGTTGAGGGGTCTGTTCAGAGCGTCACTATCCAGCAGCTCCGACGAGTCCTCGCAGATCTTCTGCAGTGCTCCAAACGAGCCCTAAAACACGGACGTACACAGAGAGGCTGTCAAATCAAAACGCAAACAAACAGGACACAGAGGAGAGAACGAGGTTGCATCAGAAAATACAACCGCAGTACCGAACCAATGTGCAGACTCAGCTAAATGTTTAAAGAAATGATTTTAGTCATTTATGCAGAACCTCTCTCAGTTAATAGATCTTTCTCACAATGGATATTTTTCATATGTCAAACAATAGCTCATGTATTGGATTATGTACTTTGTGTGCACGAGTAGCAATAATTAATAACCGGTGCGTTCCCTATTGTAAATCAAAAATTTGATAAAAATGAGCACATCACTGTCAAGAGGCTGAAGAGGTGAAATGCTGTTCTGTTTAAGTCTCACTTGACAAATGATTCAAAATTTTGGACGTTATAAAAAAAAAAAATCCTAGTCTTTCTTGTTTTGTTTCTTATTTATAGAGCTCTGTACACCCACACAGGTGTTTTCACTTATTTTGACCAATTAGATCTATTCTCAGGAGAAATGTACAAACTATAATTATTTGCCATCTCGCCCTGTTAGCTTTGTGGTATCTACTGGGGTGAGTTAGTCTGTTGCTACATGTTTAGTCATTTCTAATATAGATATACACACTGATTAACCCGGTCAGAGGTAACATTTGTGTGGGTGTGTAGGTCTAGAAAACTAACCACTGTACTTTTTATAGCACAAAAATATAAAAGGGGAAGTGCAGACCTCGCAGGTGTTGTAGTCTTCTGAGTTGAGCAAGTTGCAGAGCTGGGGAAGAAGCTCTGGCCATGTTTGTAGCTCTCCCTTGGAGGCAATAGTAGTGATCAGGATGCCTAGAAGGACCAAGAGAGGAACAGAAGATGATGGTCTTCAGATCATGATTTATAAATTAGAAATGACCAGTTGCCTCTGCAGCAGCTCTGGATCAGACAGTATGAATACAAATACCTTCACTGACACTCAGGTGATTTTATGCATCATGTCCAGAGGGTAAGGAGGAAGGCGGGGGAGGAGTAGGTGTATTGGGTGTGTGTGAATGGAAGCTAGCCCACCAAAGTAACTGATGACTGAGAACGGCATTCAACCCTCATGCTGATACAATGTCCACTAAACACACAAACTCACCAATGGTGGCACGAATGAGCGGCGAAGGGTCGCCAATGTTGTTGAGACATTCCTGCTTGATGAAGTCTGCAACTGCTGGGGGGAAGTTCTGGTAGTGGGCCTTAACATTGTTCTTCAGAATCAGACCGCTCAGAGAGCGAGTCGGCTCATCTGAGGAGAAAGGAGGAAAGAACAATGAGCGACAAACCACCAAAGGGTAATTAACTCAACTTCATGCCAGTGTGTATTTGAAACACAGCTATTATGATACTGGACAGAGGTTAACAAAGTCCTGATTGTTAGTGAGGACTATTCAGATGTAGCCTGATAACCAGAGAGTAAAATCCAACCTTTTTTCTGTCCAGATATCAGTTCTGACTTATAACTAAACTCGTAGTATTGGACAATACAAAAAAAAACGATCTAACACATAGCAGTGCTTTTATTTGTATTTCGTGTGGAACTGATTGGGACTTTTCTTAGATAGAGCAGTGTCAGCCTGAATATATATATTTCTCGCTTTAATTAAACTTTAATTGTTGTGGATCAATGTTCTGGGTGTGTTATATATGGCTGAGAGAGGAATGGCACACATCTCGCTCCTTACCTTCAGTTTTGAGTCGTGTGAGAACAAAGATGAGATAGTTGTTGAAGTCAGGGAACTGGTTGAGTTGTTCAAGTTTCTAGCAGGGCGGTTAAGGTCCATTTCACTTGCCGAGTAATGTATCTGACAATTTAATGACATGTTCCTCTACATGGAATCACCAATGGGTCACATATACATTATAGCTGGGAGACCCAACTACAGAAAAATCCCTGATTTCAAGCCCTTGATAATATGGCAGTAGTAACAATAAAGACACAGACAGAAATTCTTTGCACTAACATAAAATCACTTATGCCATTAGAGAAGCACATTGTACTAAAATATAATTTCCTAGCTTTACTAGGCACACCCTCCGATTACACTGTTGTAGGATACTTGTTGGACAGCTCTCTGTGTGACTGTGTTGGGCGACTGTGAGTCTTTGAGGAGTTGGAGGACCTGCTGAAGTCCCTGCTCATCTGGCTGCCACTCCATCCTGAAAAACACACATAAATTAATATTAATACACAGTAAACAAAACTCCCCATGACTGCTAGGTCAAAGACTATGCAGTTAAAAAAAAATGTAAAAAAATATAACCACCTGTGTGCAATGGTTAATTATAAAAATTAAAGCATATTCAGATCCATACATTTTCCAGTGCAATCTTATAATTTACTCATATTACCGACTAGTTGTAAAGGTAACAAATATGTAAGCATGTGGTCTCTGGATCAGACAGTATGAATACAAACACCATCACTGGGAGTCAGATGTTTTTTTTTTAATGCATCATATCCAAAGTCCACATGCGTACGTAAAGTTAGGAGAGGACACAGTTTATTTACAGAGTACAATATGAAGATTGATTGTGTGCGAGTAAACCCTACTACACTATAAAAGATTCCTAATGCAAAACTTCTCAACTCATTTGCATAACTTATATATTAGCAGAAGTAGTGCATTTAACCACGCCTTGTATCACTGGATGTTACGTAGATGTCTCTGTAAAAGGTAATTTTATGGTCCTACACAAGCAGTCATTGTAATATACTAATAAAAAGCCCCTCCTGCTTAATCTGAAACGTTATCCAAACACCTGCAGACGCCATGTACTCTTATTTTTCCAATCTAATCAATCCATTTACTAAAATAGTCCGAGGGAGAAAAGAAATAAGCCACAGAGTACATGCAGGAAGCTGTAGGTGCACATGGTTTAGGTTCAAGGTGGACGGAGGGGGCCATAGAGTTGGGCCTCGGGAGTCCCAGCACACCAACACCTAAAATTGTAATTGGAAATCGGCTTGCAGCACCAAAAACGAGGACATTGGACAAACAACCAGCTAAAATCTCTGTGACCCGGCTTAACCGCTCCAAGTTAATCCCACCCCCACCCCCACGCCACCCGGTCCCGTTGGTGTAACTTACAGAAAATGCTTTGTAGTCTTAATCTTTCTAGTTCAAATTTCAAACACCGCACTGTGCAGCACATGGGACCCCCCACCCCCCTCCTCGAGACTCGAGGGGTCGTATTCAGCTGTGGTTGGTCGGACGGAGGATGAGAAAAGTTGTCAGGGAACAAGTTAGCTATGTAGCTATGTAGCAGGGCCGCCTTTCCTGGTTCCGAGCTAGCAGCCCGAGTGCTTCACCAAAAGCAGCCACACCGGACTGCATTGGTTGGTTTTACTCCCATAAATTACATAAACTACCGTTTAACGTACCCGGTTGGTTAGGCACTAATTCAAATGTCTATTTACAGACGACCTGATGCTACTAAAAGTTGCCCTTCTTGCTCAGGCCTGGTCGACAGGGCAGTTCCCGGCTGGGTGGTCACAATGTGCCCGGCGTTAAAAAAAAAAAAAAAAAAAAAGGAAACAGGCAATTACCGCCATCCGCTATCTAAATAAAACCCCCTTGTATCAACTCATCCTTTTAAAGACAAACATCGAACATCTGAATGGAGACGTATGCCGTCGCGGTTCACACAACGCCTGGCAGCCAATATTAGGCACAAACTTGGTGAACACGTTTTGGTAGCTGGCGTTAGCCGCTAATCCGTCCGCATAGCCGTACACTGACGATGCTAACGCTAGCAGCCCGAGCTAACGCTACGTAACGGACAGTTCGATATTGGCTGATCAGCTTACCCGATGAGGAGCTCGGATCGATGCAACGTGTCTACAGCGGCTGTCAAAGTGCAAGCGTAACAATACTATACGTACAATATTGACTTGAAAAGTTGAATTATGAGTACTAGGCCGCTCTTCTTCCGCGCTTCGTAGCGGTTCTTCTTGTTCAAATGAGCACGCCGACTGAAATTGACCTATGGCGGCTTCCGTTCAGTACACATTTCGCTAACTTCGCGAGATTTACCGGAATCCCATTACTTTTTTTTTTTTTTTTTTTTTAAGTCATGTTTAAAAAAATAATGGTTAATTAAGTTTAAAATAAACATCCAACAAAAGAAAGTGAGCCTACTAACAAAATAAAAAATAAATTATAATTGATTTAATAATGTTACAGCGTATGTGCACATTGATAGAAACAGACATACAGTGCGTGGGTGGGGTTTTGTTTGCACCAGAATATATTTATATAATAAATGCCTTAAATAAATGTTTTAATCAAAGATCAAATTAAACGTGTATCTAGCATTTTATATTTCTAAAATTGCAATTAAAAAACTAAAATGTACATATAGACATTAGCTTAGAAGATATATATATATATATATATATATATATATATATATATATATATATATATAATAATCCTGTCATTTCCATTACAGGGTTAGGATATACAGTTGATCTTCTGTCAGTGTGTATCTTGATGATTTATATGTAAATGAGTCATGTACTGCAGCTTTATGTGTTGTATTAGGTGTAATACTTTAGTGATGATTGTACAGGAGCTGTGCTGATACATGTTGTACCGTATTGGTCCGTGTATGTTTTGGTCATTGGATTTTCCTTTCAGAAACGGGTATTAAAAAACTGAAAACGAGTGGTTATTTGATTTTCGTTTTAAAATACAAAAAATTCAAATTGAAATACAAGGCGATTTTCTTTTTCATGGTCAAAAAGGGATGAGCGAAATTAAAAAAATTATTCGGTTTTCATTTTCTATTTCATATAACAAAAAATAAAATCACTAGAAAACAGAAACGGAAAAAAGGCCTGTTGTTTCATATTCTGAGACCGGATGTTGTCATTTACAGGAAGGCGCTGTATCTTTACTGCACCAGTGTGGAGAAATGCCAAAATAAAAGTCTCATATTTATGCCTCTAGAGATTGCATATTTGAGCTACTGTAAAAACACTTTGCTCAATAATTCCTGGCTATGGATGGTATATTTGACTTCTGCACATCTAAGACTACAAGTATACTTAATATCAAGCATTTTTACTGTACCAATCTGGAGAAATTGAAGAATAAAAGTCCCATATTTATACTTCCAGATTCCATATTTTCTTATATTTGAGCTACTGTAAAAACATATTGCTCAATATTTCCTGGCTATGGGTGAAGCATTTTCATTATACTTTAATAATGCTGCAGTAATCATGACAAAATTTCACACAAATGTTTAATAACATCTTGATAATATAAACACTAAACACAAAATCCTACACAATTCTAATTTGTTTACTTTTCACACAAAATGCAATGCCAGTCCACATTCTTCTTATTTTGCTGCTCTGCTGTGTCCATTTGTAGGTAAAAGGGAAAAATAATTAATTTTAACTTCAAAACACCATTGTACCTACTGTCTCTTCCTCACATATTATTTTTTATATTATTCAGTGTGACAGCTGTTGCAGGTGGTTCCACATACATTTTTACAGTAGCTCAAATATAAGAAAATATGGAATCTGGAAGTATAAATATGGGACTTTTATTCTTCAATTTCTCCAGATTGGTACAGTAAAAATGCTTGATATTAAGTATACTTGTAGTCTTAGATGTGCAGAAGTCAAATATACCATCCATAGCCAGGAATTATTGAGCAAAGTGTTTTTACAGTAGCTCAAATATGCAATCTCTGGAGGCATAAATATGAGACTTTTATTTTGGCATTTCTCCACACTGGCGCAGTAAAGATACTTGATATAAAGTTTTTTTTTTATTCATTAGGGGCGCATGAAACACTTTAATGTAACATATTTTAATTATAGCTTACGGCTCTAAATACCTTTATTTTGAAAACCGAAAGTAAATACGCTGTTTCTCCGCATTTACCATAATGCTGAGAATACTTGTACACTCTAAATTTAAGTGCGGCTGATTTGACCACGGAGATCGGACTCACGGCTGGATTGACCTCAGTCTACTAGCCTACTGTTTCTTCTCCACAGCACGGTCCTGTAAATGACAACATCCGGTCTCAGAATATGAAAAAACAGGCCTTTTTTCCCTTTCTGTTTTCTAGTGATTTTATTTTTTGTTATATGAAATAGAAAATGAAAATCGAATAATTTTTAAAATTTCGCTCATCCCTTTTTGACCATGAAAAAGAAAAACGCCTTGTATTTCAATTTGAATTTTTGTATTTTAAAACGAAAATCAAATAACCACTCGTTTTCAGTTTTTTAATACTCGTTTCTGAAAGGAAAATCCAATGACCAAAACATACACGGACCCGTATTCCACCAGCATGGCTGTGTTGCTGATTAAGTGAAGTGAATTTAATTTAAAGTTAAAAGCCAGACCCTTATTAAAATAGTTTATTTAACCACGTGCAACATTTGTACACATGACAAATGTTCATTTTGCTCATTAAAAAGTCTAAGGTGCAACATTGTAAACAAAAAAAAATACAGGTGAGGATCATTTTCCTAAATGGTGAAATAACATAGCACCTGAGATTTCTTATAGCTTTGTAGTTTTTAAATCAATTTACAGGTTATCGGGACATTGCTGAAACATTTAAGCTCATCTGGGAGTAAATACTGACTACTACTGTGCTTCTAACATTCCTCACAGACTTAAGTATTTTGTATTGTGCTTATAAATATGATGATGTATATGAGAGGGTTCTATCACTATCAGTGACAAATAATTCCTAGCTCTGCATACATCTGCATATTGGGGCTCTAGTCTGGCTCAATGTGTGGATTAAAAACAAAATCTCTTAAAATACTACTCTTACTACTCTACAGGCTTAACATAAGAGGGTGGATGAAGCTGAAATAGGAAAAGTGAACACTATCTGGTGAAACAAACACTCATCAAATACCAAAATAAACTAATGCAAAAGGTGGAAGCCAGCGTAGAGAGAGGGACTGGCTATCATTAGTTTAAGCTGACAAATCTCTCCAATGACCTGAGTCTGATCTCCTGCAGAGAGAGGCTGTCCAGGTCATTCTGAAACATTTCTGCACATTTCAAGTATTAAAACACACATCCAAGATTGTCCACGAGTCAACACGGAGACATCATGAAACTTCCAGTATTTCCAAAACAGTGGGCATGAAGTGCTTCTCGTAACCTGATCGACAGGGTTCATCGTCTGATGAGCTCCAACAATCCTCCTCCTCCTTGTCCCTCTCCTCATCGGAGTCAACCATTTTGCTGTACGCCTCTCTTCCATATTTGTGGTCAGTCCTGTGACACTCCTCTATGACAGCTTTCTCCCTCTGATCATCTTGGAAGTCCATCTGGGAGCTCCCATCTCCAACCAATGGCCTAGTTAATCTCTCAGTTTCTGAGGTTTCCTCCAGGGAGCTCGTCGAAGCCCCCGGCGAAGTTTCCAAAACCTCCAACAGAGAGATCTTGGGATGTTGCTCCTGAATGGCGATGCAGCTACAAGTCATGGGGTCATTAATCTACAGGGAGATCGCACATGTTATTGTGATACACAGTAACAAACTAGGACTTACTGACTACATTAGTGAGAGAGTAGTTGTAAACAGGATAAGCAGTTACCAGTGGAATAGCAAAACAATCATGCCATTACTCAAAAATCGGTGTAAACTATTAGACATTAGACAACAGCTCACAGAAGACAAAGAAGTCCTGTTGTGTCATTTGGTCTCTCACCTGGTGTTTCATATCTCTGAAAATGTAGCTATTACGAGGATCTGGCACTTTATCACAGTAACACGGAGGCCCCAGTGAACACCCTTTGTTTACTCCTCGACAAGTACTGGCAGACGAAAAACAGGGGAAAAAAACCATCACAGATATAAGATCAATAAAAAAACAAACATGTACATTCATATATTCTTAGCTTCAATGTCCACATCAACATTTTATGAGACAACAACACACTGATGTGCATTTTAATTTAATATCCTTTTCATCTTCACTCTGTGCACACAGTTTTAGCTCCCCAGTACCGAATAATATTTATTTGCTTGTAAAACTATTTCCGGTGTTATTAAAGATTATTTGAGAATGGATAACAGCTGAAAACTGTTCTGCTGTACCTCTCTTATAGATCAGACAGAGATAGGAGATGAGAGAAATGCCACATAAGAGTCAAAGACAAGATGATCATCTCACCAGACTGAAACAAGAATAATGCATATTCCAACCAGAGACAAAACTGTCAGCAGGACAGGAAGGTACGCTGTAAGAGAGAGAGAGAGAAATGGGATAAGAGAGACACACCAGTAACCAATTCACTTATTATGTTGTAAAGACAAATCAAATTACACCTCTTGAAAACTCAACCAGAGCTCATCCCAATAAACAAAAAAAGGTAAGATGCAATACCGTAAGATTCGACTGTTTTGAACCTCGCAGTGGCATTTTCTCCAGGTCCAGCTGAAGTCACAGCTCGTATCCACACCTCGTACTCCTGTCCTGGACTGAGACCCAGCAACTTATATGTCCTATTTGTACCCACATTGTACACTAGGAGAGACAAATTGTATGAAATGAGGTTAAGTTATCAGAGAATAACTGATAAAGACACAGCAAGCTAACAGTAGCATCCCTTTTATTTGATAATTACTACTTTTCTATATTCTTTATTATTTTACACATGCACAGTTATTTCTTAAAATATAATTGGATGATTAGCACTAAATGTAAAGTACAGCTGAGGCTGATGGGAATGCCATTAGTTCTTTCAGTTTATTAGTCATAAACCAAAAAAACATAAAAACCATTTTAAAATGTGATGGTGCTAGATGAACTGTTTTTTTTACTAATGTTAAGAGTCAGAACTCATTCATTCTGATGGGGTGATGAATGTATACTATGTACCAAATTTCACGGGAAGTCCATCCAATAGTTGTTGAGACATTTCCCTGGGAGCCACAAATGTAAACCTAGCGGTGCATCACCAAAGTAATTAGGATACATCCTCTGGGAACTATGAGTGTCGGTAAAACATTTCATCTGATAGTTGATGAGATATGTCAGTGTGACTGAAATCTAATGACCAATATATCTGATCAATTGTTACGACACAATCTTGGCAAAAATATTTATTTTCCTATGTTTCCTTTAATATTTACTACAAGTGTATTATATATTGTTGTATTTGTACCTTTTTCTCTGTCTACTCCTACTTGGTAGTAAAGGATCACCCCATTCTGCTCGTCGAGGGGAACGGGCTCCCAAATCAGAGTCACATCAGTGGTGTCAATGGAAAACACTTTAAATGATGGCACTTTGGAGGGGGCTGAAAAGGGACATAAGGATTACAAGTCTATCTTTAGAGGTCAAAATTAGCTAAAATAAGTAGAACAATGCATAAATACTTACTTCGTTCAAGAGAATATCCAATATCTGTGAAAAGGTGGTGGACTTCCTTGCTGTTGAATACTGTGAACACTGATATTTGGTAGGGTGTGTATTTTTTAAATTGACCTGTAGGTGGAGACAAACATCAATAAAACAGCCATTTTGAAAATAGTCAAATCCAACTGCAAAGTAAAAGACAAGCATTGTTGTTGTATAGGTAATATCTTCTGGCATTGCAATCAAAGTATCAACAAAAAAAACAGACCTTTAAAAATTGCAGTTCTTTGGCTTTTGTTCACTTTGACCCAATCAAACCCTTGGCCTGGTGGACATCCTGCTTGTTTGTATTCCACCACATATTCTTTCAAGTCTTTCAGAGAAATGGAGGGCAGATCCCAGGACACAGTGACGTTTTCTTCATTTATCTTGAGGTGAACATCTTGTTTATTTATATTAATACCTTAGCAAGAGAGAACATGTGTTGTTAGTTCTACTGAGCCACAGGAAAAAGGAGAAATACAAATATTCCTTATAAGAGAATTAAATCATACAAATAGATAATAACTGCAGAGCAATTTTCCAGCATGACCAGTCACTTTAAAACAGTGACCATAACCTTAATTATAACACATAGCTCTCTATACCGTTATGAGAATTGATACCTGGTATTGCCAAAGTGAGTTTAGAAGGCTCCGTAGCACCAAGAGCATTGTAGGCTGATACATTGACTGAGGTTGCATCCTTTAGAGAGGAATTCAGGTGGCATCGCGTTTCATCACACACTAACTGGCCCCTTGGCTCAGCTATGGACACATTCACTAACACTGTGGTACCATTAGGGTAAAACAGTTTGACTTCATACCCCAGAATGAGATCACAAGCCTGAGACATAGGAAGTGTCTGAGTGGGATGAAGAAAGGGAGAGAACAGTGAGTGGTGACTTTGCAAAGAGTAGTTGATTGTTCAAACCAGAGAATAATAAATTTGGGTAATTTTTTGGACATACCTTCCATATCAAAACACAGTCGAAGCTTGCAGGGGTCACCCCACAGTCCCTCCAAACATCCAGCTTTCCAACAGGATCTGAACAAGGAAAGAAAAAGGTCACCAAGAAGGAGAGAAAACCAGAAAGAGGCAAAATCAGAACCCAGAGCAGGTTTGTGTAACTCAGTAGTTCATAGTTTTAGCAGAGAAAACTGTTATTTTGTTTAGTAGGGTGCATTAGATTAGACTGGGTTAAAGTTATACGCTTTTATTGCTGAGATATAGATGAGAAGATCAGTATCACTCTCATGTCTGTATGCTAAGCTAAGCCAGTTAGCTTAGTTTAGCATACAGACTGAAAAGAGACCTAAACAGCTGTGGTTCAATCCAAAGGTAACAATATCCGTCCATCAGCACCTCTATAGCTCACTTCTTATCTTACAGTATCTTCTCAGTAAGAAAGACAATATTCCTTTAATGCTTTATAACTCAGCAGTTAAAACAGAACAGAAGAAAAACCATTCAACAGCAACTTGGAGACCACATCATATATGAGGACCCACCTGTCAGTGTGTGGATTTTTTCGATTGCACTCCAGTAACTCTTCAGGCCTGTGACGCATGCACAGCGAACTTGAAATTCATAGGCTGTACAGGGCTGGTGACTGACGAATTCATAGCGGTTAAAATATTTATCCTCCTGTGTTAGAAAAGGAGAATGAGTTTGAGCATGCAGTGAAAAAACAGTTTGTCTTGCAAGATTATATCAGGACATGAATTCCTTAATTTATTCATCTTCTTTAGCACTGTCCGTTCACTGTCAACATACTCCATTACACAGTGTGGACTACGTTGAGAGGATGAAAAGGAAGACAAAATCGAAAACCATAGACACCTCAAACCAGCGTTGGTCTTCCTCAGTCCGATATCGAATATCACAGGGTCCCAAAGGGGTCTCCGGCCGCGCACAGGGGTGGGGCCACTCTATCTCTAACGATGAACTGTCCTGAAGGATCGATGTGATGCGAGGAGGGGGTGGCTTGACTAGAAACAGAGACAGATACCCAAAAACTATTTCATTTGAAATGTCACCTAAATTAAAATCGATAATTTTAAGCTGTCAGGTACCACTATTGTTATTCTTATTGTTGTTGTTGTTGTTGTTGTTGTTGTTGGTGTCTGACTCACTGATATCTGCTGTATTGAACACAACCTCCTCAGATTTGACAGAACCGTACTGGTTCTCAGCCTGGACCCAAACACGAAGCTCATCGTGGCTGGAGAAATGTTCACGAGCAATCGAAGCATTAAAACTGGTCTCGCTGATCACATGACCCTCCCTGGAAGACAACACAAGGAAGAAAAACAAATTCAAAAGACTATTGTTAGCAGATCATTGTTTTCTTGCCTTTAAACACGTCAGATGACTAAGACTTTAAAGAACTTTGGTTGTTTACTTGCTATTCGCCCGCTTCCAGTGCAGGCTGTAAGTCGTGTTCTGAGGTTCCTGCCTTTTGTCCCAAGTACAGTAGATATATACCCAACAGTTTTTCTCATCACATGGGCAATAGCATTCAGGAGGAAAGGGGGAAACTGGAGGACCTGCAGAAACTAATGAGAGAATAAGAAAAAAATAAGACATTATCTCATACAGAAACAATAGATGCAGACTCATGAGAAAATTTAGTTGGAAACAGGCAGGGACGTTAAGGCAAATGGCACACACTGTACTAAAATGTCTACCATGAGTCATAATAAGCGGTTGGTACGGACCTACTGCGTCACAACTGACTTACCAACGTAAAGAAACGGGTAAAATAAAAACAGTAGCAAGTAAGTGGCCTGAAGAAATCAGTTCAGTTTCAGTTGTACTTTCTAGTGTGGGATTGATCGTTTTATTGTTTTAAAATGTTCAGTTTTAGTTTAGCTTTTATTAGCTTTGGTATTATTCTTATTATAAAATGAGGGCACTTGTCACAGGAAAGTTCAGAATAGGTATTACAATACAAACACATTGACTCACTGTCATGTAGGCATCCTCAGCTTAAGACTAAAGACTAAAACTAAAGACATTTCCTGTATATTTTTATTTTATTTTATCAAAATATGTAATTGTGTTTATTTCAGTTAACTAAAACTTTGTTTAGTTTAAGTTAACTATAACAACCTTCCTTCATACTGAAGTCAAACAGGGCACTAAAAAAACATCCACTACTGATTTAATGTCAGTTTTACTTTCTAAATTCTCATTAATCTTTATAAGTGTTTTACTCAGACACATTTAACTGCTATAACAACAAACAGAGATGTAGAGAAAGGTGTAAAGGACTGAAAACGAGCCAGAAAGTAATAGATAGAAGACTTAACCACAAGAACAATGTACATCCGCCCAACACTTTTAACTTTTTTTTTCTTTTTCTATTCATCACAAGACTGTCACCTTCACCCACTTCTCGTAAGCCTAGACACTTTTAGCGGTGATCAATGTGAAGCCTGCACACTGCACGTTGCAGGGAAGCGCAGCGCCAGAACCGTTAAACAGGAAATGAGCACTGTGATCAGTCTAGGTCCAGATGACTGCACCCTTTCATTGTCACCACTTCCTCCTCAGCACAGCACTGAATTACACAGGGTCAATGACAAATAAAACTTTAGGGGCATGTGACCTAATTTTAGCACACAGAGCTCATTATAAAAAACGTGTTAAGTTTGATGTACACACAACTGTCCTACAGGCATAAACGTGTGTGAAACTGTGTATTTTGTTGGAAAGTAGATTTGTAGTGTTAGACGATGTGTTTAGATCTTTTACTTAAAGATAAGTCATTATTGATCACCAGAGATTAAAATACCAAGGCGTAGACAAGCTCCTTTATATTGCATTAACTTGTGGGCACCTTCTGAATATTTTATCTACCCTTGGGTAATTTATTCTTTGACAATACATACTGTCTCACATGCTGATTATAGATTTTATATGTAAAATCTTACTCAGCAAAGTAAATTTAAGTATATAGCTGTTTTTTTTTTTTTGTTTTTTTTAATGTAGTGGAGTAAAAACAGCAAGTCTCTCTCTCTCTCTCTCTCTCTGAATGAAACATAAAAAATAAACACAAAGAAAGTACAAACAGGAAGAACTGAGCTGATTCAGGAGGGGTACAAGCCTTGAATGAGCCTACCTGCTAGCGCAAAGCAATTTCGCAGGTTGACCACAAATATGGACAGAAGCCAGCTGGTCTTAAGTGTGGCCATTACATTTGGACCCAGGCCTCTACTGCCTGTAGGAAACACACACACACACACACACACACACACACAGAAAAATGTATCAGTCACGGAAGCTACAGCAATATCCCTAAAAAAAAAAAAGAAGTATTTTTTCGACCTAGTAAATGTAAAATGTGTGAGCTATAAGAGTCACACGAACATGTGGAGCCGCTGCATCGAAACACAGTGTACTGTACACATACGTGCCGACAGTCCGCCTCCCGGACACACGTTCCTGTATCATATACTCAACATCAACTACTAATGAAGCGGTTGTAGCATGAAAACACTCAGATAACAGTTCAAGCACGTTATCAGCCGCGTCTCGTTAAGTCTCATTAAGCGATAACAACTTGTTACGTTCCTCAGTAATTAGCAAACTATCTAATAGCTATGAAAGTATTGATTATTTACCTCATTGTGAGACACACTGAGATTCCTATCGTTCATTGTGAGGCGACATCAAACCCCGGTTGACTGAACAAAGTTTGTTGTGAAATTGAAATCGTCCGTCCGGTAACAGGGCTCGCGCCGCCCAAGTTTTGGGACTATCGATGACGTGGGCACACACACACGTACACACACACACACACACGTACACACACACACACACACACACACACACACACACACACACACACACACACACACATACACACACACACGCGTGCAGCAGTCGCAGTATTCACGTGTACAGTGTTTTGCCCAACTCTTTTTAACTTCCTGCTGCTTAAAAGGTGTCAGTGTCACATTCACATAGAAAAACAACACGAGAACCAAACCTACACGTTTCCCACAGATACAGTAGTTAACTTTTATCTACTCTTAAGGACCTGAAACTCCTCTGAGACTGTTTGTCCAGGTTATGCAACTTTCTATTTCTACTCCAAAAAAACTATTTAGTTTCTGTTCCACTGCGGTCATCAGACAGCTTTAGTTAATGTTTGACGCTTAAAATGAGAAACTTATGAAATGCAGTGTTAAATATTAAATTAGTGGTTCCTGGCCTTGTTGGTTTTGGACTCCTTGACAAAGAGGTGTCTGGTTCGGGCCCCTTGTCATGCTTCATAAGAGTAGAGCAGTTCCACCAAATACAGATTTCTAAGATTGTAATCATTTTTCCATTTACAAACACATGTAGCAAAGCTTACCCCTACATACTGCCCCAATAATCAGCTCAGAATTGACCTTGTGGCCCTTTAGAGGGGCCTGCCCTCAAGGTTGGGAACCATGGATTAGCCTTCCCACACATAAAGTTGTTAAAACTAGCCTCACCTCTACCAGCTACAACACTAAAATGACAAATTGATGCATCAGTATTAAAATTCTTATAATGTAATATATAGCCTAATAATATCAGTTATAGCCTGTTAGTTACTACAGGGGACATTTCTTAATGCAGATATTTATACTTTTGATACTTTAAGTACATTTTGCTGATAATACTTTCAGTACATTAATCAATTTTAAATGCAGAACTTTTATTTGTAATGGGTATTTCCACATAAATGTATTAGTACTTATAAGTGGAGGGTCTAAATACCTCTTCCATCACTGAAAAGGTTACTGTCTCACAGTATGTGAGTATTTATGGAGTATGCATCAAATGCAAATATTCCGGTGCAGGTATATTTTAGGTGAAGTGAGACTTTTCTTAAGCCTTGGTAATAGGCATTTAAAAACGCAAAGATATGATTCTTTTAACACATTTGTTTTTATTATGGGTCTGAACCTTTTACCCATTTAGCGTGTGCTACAAAACAAATGCAAAATACCAACAATCTACTTATAATTTACAAACAAGATTAAACATTGTGACTTTTTATGCAGTTGCTATCAAATGATCTTAAAGTGTTTTTATTCCCTTGAATTCTCTGGTGCACAATTCAGCTTAATGTAAAAAATAAAGGTTTATTACAATGTGTATGATAGTGTTTGGGAAGGACAAAACAACTTGGTTCAAGATTGAATAATTAAGGCTTTCATTACAAAGCCTATAATGCAGAAATGTAAACATTTTGAACACATGGCAGCCCTTTCCATACACTTCATAGATGCTACAAAATAAAAGAGCAGTTCAAACAGTTCATATAATGGGTTAACTGAGAGAATCTGGATATAAAATTAAAAGTGTGTGTGTGTGTGTGTGTGTGTGTGTGTGTGTGCGTGCGTGCGTGTGTGTCTGTTTGTGTTCTTATGTAAACAATGCATGTCTGCCGATGTATTCACTCAGAGGCCCGAGGTCGACTCTCAGCAAAGAGAGCTGATCTCGCTCTTGCTGCAGCCCCACTTGCAGCAGGCGTTGGACAGACCCACCACCACGTCCCGGCCCTTGCGGTCAGCCTTGCGAAGGGCTTCCAGGATCTCCTCAGTGATGAAAGAACGGGCCGGCCTTCTGAACACTCCCTCCTGGTTGTCTCTGGGTGTGAAGCTTAGATCTCTGTTCCTTTGGAGGAGACTGTCCACCACAGAGTTGGGACTCAAGCCCTCTGAGGACTCCTCCTGACGGGAGCTGAATGGGTCCTCTGAAACATCTGAATGCAGTGAAATGGGTAAATGAACTTCAGAGAATACTCTTGGCTTTTCATAGATTATATTATTTGTCCTTGTCTGTTACCTGTACAGTTATTACAAGAATTGCTGAAGGTAGCATAAAGTAAGAAGAGTGTCATATAGTCCCAGGGACATCTTTGGAGAAAAGGTCACATGTATCGTTTCCGACCAATAAAAGGTCTTTCTTCAGAGGCTCAAAATAAATGTTACTTTCTAGTATTTTAAGTAAGTATAGATCAACATAATACATCTAATGACACTGTAAATGAGAATTATAGTGCTCTGATAAGAATCTAGGTTGTCCATAGTTAAAACACTAACTTAACCAATATACCAAACAACATCAGCATTCAATAAAAATGTAATTACTAGTATTTTCTGTCAATCTGCATTTGAATTACATATGATTTCCTTTTTCCCTTCATTGACGTTATCATTGGCATATGCTTTTCAGCACAAGTACACCCAATCAGAAGAAACTTCATTGTGGACATACGATTAATTCACAGAGATCAAGAGAAATTACAAATGATCATAACATTAGAAATTGGGGGCAAACAAGTTGATCTCATACAATTAATGGATATGTTTTAGTCACCAGATGAAACCCAAATGCTGACTGTGGAGAAGAGACATCACAGGGAAAGTCACAGTGACAATGCGGCGCCTTTTAGCCTCTCACCTGCACTCCTGAGTGACCGTTTCCATCGTGAGCCTCCGCAAGTGAAGATGACTGCCCGGATGAACTCACGGCCACACAGCTTCACCCCATATGATGGGTCATCCATGGGCTGAACCCCAGCCACCAGCAGACACACAGCCAGCACCACAGCTTTCCACATAGCACCCCAAGCAAACAAAGCAAAATAGAAATGGCTGAAATGACAGGAGATTTTTTGCTTTGAGCAGCACTTAGCTTTCTGTCTCCCTGTTTGCAAGAGCTGTGACTTTCTAGTTGACCCAGGCGTGGTTTATAAAGGGGTTTGGAGCTCTGCAAGGGAGACAGGCATACTGCGCATGCAGGCCCTACCCCAAGAGAAGAACAGATTCGAAAGAGAGATACAGCCAGAGACCTTTATGGAGACAAAAAGCGGACCAAAGGTGGCATAATTAACGAATATGTCAGAGGCCTCAGTGATCTAATTGTGTTTCAGCATGAGAAGCACTTTTGTCCTCTTTAATGTCCCTCAATATTATGATCAGATCCTACTTACATTTAATATGTAAAACATTTGATGATCATGTGGTGACTCTGAATATGAGGAGCACATTAATAATGTCAAACAAAGTATGAGACTATGTGGCATAATGATGTTTTTTCCCCCCACATGTTAGCCAATTACAACTCTGTCTCTGTTTATATGAGTCACAGGGCAATTTCCTTTGCTCTATTGTGGTATATCATGGTGTTTTCTCCCCTACAAATACCATAGTTGGTTGTGTAAGACGCATGAATATTCTACGAGATAAATCAATTTGTTAAAATAAAAATAAAAAGTATTTTAATTGCAAAATGAATATTCAAGTTGGAAGCTGATGTCAATGAACAGAAGAAGTAGAGGTGCATGAAGTGTCTGAACACATGAAATTAACCTTTCAGGCCTAATTATGGATGTTTCCACAAATTCCCCTGATAAGATTTAACACTCGCTAACCCCACTACAGGGATATATTTAGGCCATTGTAACCAATCACAATTATTTACATCAGTGTTTGCCATTTTTAATCCACACAAACCCTGTATTACTTCCACATGTATTTTTTTTCCTTTCTCTTGAAAATCGCTTATTCCGTCATCTCTTTGCCAAAAGGTGACCTGGGAGGACAGAGACAGAACCAGTGACATTTACAAAGTCAGATAACATAGAAGTCTTATAATGAGTCAGACAAATATAAAACACATTTTTATCTGTATCATAGTCAAAGGTCACTCATTTAGGATATTACAATGGGGATGATGAATTTGTAATGAATGTGTTGATAACAAGCAAACAAAATGGCATTTTAGGAGAGTGTCCACCCTGACATTCATTAACACAGTGTCACAGAAGTGACCTCTGGAGGTCACAGGAGCAATATGAAAATGACAATGCACACTGTAGATAAATATTAGTATATTATTTGGTCCTATATAGTCCTAAAAATGAGTCATTTTTAAATAATTACCAACTTACCTGTGTTTCAGTACACAGCAGGTGTAGTTTATATGTTCTGTAGTAATAGGGCAGCATAACAATAAAACAATAAAAAGTGACTTAGGGTAATTCAAATGGCTAACTTGCTTTCCAGGGCTAGAGAACGGGGCAGTTTTCAAATAAATATTGTGTTTGATCTTATATTTCAACACAACAGTGTTGACACTCAGAAAGGAGAGAAAACTAGCTTCTTTGCAAGGCTGATACTGGACCTAGAGTACATTGCTGAAGTGAGATGAAGTGGGTGTGTGTCCGGTATATGTAGTTGCACGCAAACTGTCACTAAAATCAAATCCCTACTCATTATTTATCAGATGAACTCAAACTGCTGCCCCTAACCTTGAGGCCATTCACTAGAAAGAGTTAGTGTCAGTGTATCCAGATGCAGACAGGTCACCCAAAGACAAATGGGTAGTAAACACCGGGTTACTACCACACTGTCAAATCACTAACTGCTGAATTTTGACAAGCACTAAGATGAACCTATTACTTTCACTGGCACAGCATCCGCCTCAGCTGTAAAAAGAAAAAAGAAAAAGGAAAAAGAAAGATGTCCATGATAGACAGAGGTGTTCCACAAATGGGCGTGGAAGGCTTTGTAGTAAAAAAAAAAAAAAATGCTGTTGCTGTGTCTTTAAGACAATTTGGCAGCACTCAACCAATCAGAGCGAGGAAGGGGGAGGGAAGGGAGCGGGTGGGTAGCAACAGTTGCCCTGGTGAGGACGAAGCGCCATAGCCACGGTAGCCCTGGCGACAAGAGCCCAGCAACGAGAATCAACAACAACAACAACTGAATCCGCCATAAAAATAAAAGAAGATATTTTACCGGTGGGAAATACACACGTGGAACCAGAGGTGAAGCGCTTTACATATAGGAAATATTTTATGTCCAATTATGCTTCAACTGAATTGTGCTATTGCTCTTTTCCCTTGTTGTTTCAGTAGCCATACCAGGCAACTGCCTTCCACTGCTAGCTGAGGTTAGCTTGCAAGCTAGCCGTCGTACTGTTAATCAGTCGAGTCGGTTTTTCGTGAATTGGGTAGTCTGTGGCCGCTACTCATTCCAGTGACAGCGAATTGTGCTTGCCATGACGACGCAGCCACAGATGCATACTCAAGCAGGCCGTTGTTATGGCGATGTCAAATGCAAAAGGTACAAAATGGCGGTTGTTGTAGAGACCAGTTAGCTTGCTGCCCGTGTTACCTCAATAGACAGCTAGCGTTAGCGCTGTCACGACAGGCGTGTGCTCGCCGCTGCCTACAGCTAACGGGACGAGTGACCAGGAGCGGTCACTCGTCTCTTCACACGATGTTTTACGTGCCTGCTGTCGCGGTTTGACACATTATGTGTTTTTTCAGCGGCTCCCGGCTCAACAGAAAATCAACTCCCCGAGTACATAACGTGAACTCCCCGAAAAGGGAGAGCACATTAGGATAACTGTTAGTCAAATTATAAGTGTAACTATTAAGGCAGTTTTTGGTTTCGGGGGTGGAGTTGGGACAATTACAGGTGGATGAAATATTGCTCTCTCGATAATGAAAGTTGAAGAACTGGGGCAGGTGGCGGACATTTAATATCTAATGGGCGTGGTGAAGGAGGGCGTTTTGCAGGTGCTTTGCAGGTCCCAGTTCAGTTTTTAACGTGTTTGTTCACCGATTTGGCTCTATGAGTGACTTTATAGATTTGTAATAAGGTTTCTTGTTGCAAATTGCCTATTGACGTTACCATTAAAAAGCATATGGGTTTGAAAACACACATGTAAATCATAATAATCCCTTCCTATCCTCTCTTTTTATTCAGTAAAGGCAATGTATAAGTTATTATCTAGGATACTGTATTAAACATGTCACAAATTAGGAACAGGGTGTACATATAATCTCCTGGTAATTGTGTGTGACCTAAACAACAACCTGCAATAGCAGTATTAATGTAGTGTGGTAGGGGAGTTTCCCAACTTATACTCCGGGCATAACTGTGTATGTGAATGGCCATAGGATGTGTGATGATCACATTACAGGTAATGAGACACCGAAATGCTTGTTCCCGTCAATGCTCCTCCCCCACATCTTCACATTAGCTGCACCACCAACAGGTCAGCCACAGTAGTACTTTCAGAAACATCCCTCTTACTCATTCATTTGCATCAAGGCAACAAATGAGAATGTAGAAATATTCCTAATGTCAATAGGATAAGAACTGTTAACCACAGAATAATGTTATGCGAAAAAAGGGGAAAAAGTAATGATCACATCAGCATCTATGTATTTTCCAATTGTACTTTTAAAAGATCATGCAGCAAACACCACTTTCCTCATGTCCAAAGTGCGGCCCATGTCATTTTTACAAGCTAGACATTAATAAATGACTTTGTAATAATAGTCACATGTTTTAAAGTAATATTTTACCTGAAGCTGTAATTCATTACATTTTGTTCTGCTACATCCTCTAAAGTAAGTAAGTAGGGATTGTTTCCCTCTTACCTTCAAACCTCTGACTAAATCCCTATCCCCTGCCCTTTCTCTATCTGATTAATTACACATTGGCTTGAAAGACATAATGACATTAGGCTATTAACCAAATAAAACCTGGAAACAAACAGTTCCAGGATGAATTCTGGTTTAACCTGTTCAAAACATCCCTAATGTTTACTAGAAATGCATAACCAGTGACTTATTAATTTTTCCTAGGGTGATTCCCAGCTCTTGTTATGGCCACCTCAGGCTACGTGGGTGAGATCCAGCCGGCAGCCCAACCCCAGGGGGGCGGTGTTACCGTAACGCCGGTGCAACCTGACGCCAGCTCCACCCCTCCAACTGCCCCTCCCCCCTTTCTGGCTGAGATTCAGACTACTGTGGTCACTCCCACTGTCGTCACACCCACAGGCCAAACTTCTCCAACTGATCAAGCCACCTCTATCACCAATCAGAAGCCTGCAGCTGGAGGTCAAGCTCAGTCCACAGCACAGGCCCAGCCAGCACAGACTCAGTATGTGACCGCAGAGATCCAGGGCTCCCCCACACAGTCTGGAAATGCTCAAAGCACTCCTCAGTACATCGTTGTTACAGTCACAGGTAAGGGCTGAACATCACATACCATAATATGCCTTTGGCACTAACGCAGACCTAGCCAGATAAGGGCTTTGCAATTACACATGCACAGAGGAAGTGCTTTTCATTTTAGCCGTTACTCCTCATGAAAGACTTGGAGATTTTTAATAAATCTTTCATTTTTCAGAAATGGTTATAAATAAACCTATTTATTTTAAAAGGTCAGATTTATATTTATCAAATTAAATTTTTTAAAACGTTTTAAGGGCAGTGAGTTAAGATACTTGAAAGTTTCATGGATTGTAATTTTGTAGAACTAAAACACTTTCACATGTTCAAATAAAGGCTAAAGTTGGTTTGCTACAACCTTCAATGATTGAGTTTGAGACTTTGCCGGAATGCTGAAATAATGTCACCGACAATGTATTTACATTCCCTTCATCCTTCAGAAGGCTCCCTTCACTCAAGTGACAGTGTGTCAGACTCTAGCCCACCTCCAGCTGTGGTGCAGACAGGAGTTCCCACGCAGGTGGTTCAGCAGGTACAGACAGCTCAACAGGTACAATATGCACGCACACACAAGCAGACATGAAATTAAGGTTTCTTTAACTCTCAAAACTAAATAATATATTTATCTCGGCAGAGGTCTGTGGTGCAGGCTACATCTCAGATAACCAAGACTGAGCCTGGCACCCAGCTCAGTGTCACCAGTCTACAACCTGTTCATATCAGCCCGGAGGTAAGTCAAACACACACAGATTATCATCTGTTGTTAGACCAACACCAACACACACGTGGAAAAACAAGTCAAGGGCATCACACATTAAATCAAAAACTCCCTCACATTTTAGCTTAGAATTTGTCAAATGATCACATCTTTGGTTGAACCTGCCTCTGCTGGTTTCCAGATCCTACCTAGCACCAAGGTGACAGCATTAGTCAGGGATAACAGTCTAGAACAATGCCAGCTGCATCATGAGATAGGACAGCCAGAGTGCCTGGCCTTTGCATCAGCAGACTGCGTACAAGAATGCTGTGGCAAGCCCTTCTACCTCCCCTTGGATCTCCTTCAGTATTACCAGTCACTGTGCTTGCTCTCTGTGTGTGTGGAGAAAGAGATAGGAGCCCACTCTGCAGTGACAAGCTCAGGCCCTGATCAGCCACCACTGCAGGCTACAACTGCCAATTACCAAGTAGGTCAGGGACACAAGGGAGACTGCTGCTATAGAGTTAAGGGACCAGAGAATCTGCCTGTAGCTAAGAAATATATATTATAATTGCAAAACTGTACATAAAAGATGTTCAGAGTCCCCAGTTGATATGGTCTAACTAGGTAGGTGAGGATTTACTGGATTTGTGTGTGTGTGTGTCTGTTGCTGTGTGTGCGTGTCTCCTCCGTAGGTCCAGCAGCAGCTCACGCCAGTGCCAGTGCAACATGTGTACGCCAATCAAGTGCAGTATGTGGAAGGAGCGGACACCAACTATACCACCAGCACGATGTTAGAATAAAACAGTGTCTATTATTATCTTAACACATGTCCAAACAAAACTACTTTACTTGACTTTTATTTTTTTAATTTCCCCAGCAGTTTACTTTGTTTCTCACATATCTTTTCATATCTTTTATCCAGTCGTTCGAGCACCTTCCCGTACACTGACACACCCCTGTACACCCAGACCACCGCCGCCCAGTATTATGAAGGTCAGCCAACATCCGGCTCACAGTCCTCTACCCCTGGCACACCTCTAACCGTCTCAGTGACTACTGGCACGACAGGGGGTGTGTCCATGTTTGTGGCCCAACCCACCAGTGCGACAGGGGGAGGGGCCACAGTGGTGACTACTGGTGGCACCACCAACGGGGCAGGGGAAGGGGCAGGCACCAATGGTGGCGCAGCAGGCAGCTATGTAATCCAGGGGGGTTACATGCTGGGCAGCAGCAGCGGAGGGGCAGCTGGCAACAGTCAGAACTACTCTCACACTGCCCGCGCCTCTCCAGCCACTGTGAGTATTACAGAGGGCGAGGAGAGTAGCGTGCCGTCGGCAGACAAGAAGGTATGCAGAGGCGCCAAGCGCAGGAATTTCTTTTCGTTTTTGTTCTCATTCACACAACTCTTTGGTGGCGCACAGTGATGATGTCATAGTTTTATATAAGTGGAAAGCACAATTAAAAATGTGTAGATTTGGGGCGCCCTGATAGCTCACCTGGTAGAGCTGGCGCCCCATGTACCAAGGCTGAGTCCTTGCTGCAGCAGGCCCCCGGTTCGAATCTGACCTATTGGCCCTTTGCTGCGTGTCATTCCCCCCTCTCTCTACCCCCTTTCCTGTCTGTCTTTAGCTGTACTATCTAATAATAAAGGAGAAAAGCCCCCCGCCCCCCAGACAATGTGGAGATTTGTATTAGGGCCAGAATATGTTAATACTTTGAGTATAAAACTTGTAGCATAGATTATTTTTAACTGTGATTTCCTCCTCAAACCCCCCCCCCAAAAAACCATGACCTCATCATTTTCATATCATTACAGTGCATGTGACGAGGGGCATTTTTAATTTGCCTGAAATGCTCCAACACTATATTGTTCATGCCAAATTCATCATATTGAACCCCATATGATAATGGTTTACCAACCTATGTTTGGCAAACATCCCATATTCCAGGTCATTAATTCATTGCATACCAAAGTTGTATGCCACGGCACGCAAACAGGTGTACTTGTGTTTTCATTCCCGAATGATCGACAGACTGTTAATGTGAATGGATTTGTTTGTGTTTGTAGAATTTATTCTTTATAAAGATGTGCGTGCGTGCATGTACTGTATATTGAAAATGTGGGAAACGTGTTATGTGTGTACACATATATTGAGGTGTGTTTTTCTGTTTGTATCTATTGGCTTTGCTAACTGTTCCAGCTGTGTGCCTGTGTGTCAGGTACAGTGGTTGCTGGACAACTATGAGACAGCTGAAGGAGTGAGTCTTCCACGTTCCACCCTCTACTGCCACTACCTGCTGCACTGCCAGGAGCAGAAACTAGAACCTGTCAATGCTGCCTCTTTTGGGAAACTCATTAGATCGGTGTTCATGGGGCTACGCACGCGACGTCTGGGCACACGGTAAGACGAGTGTTCACACATTCAAACCCAGTTTAAGAGGAAATGATAGACCATATATACATATGGGTGTAGATACACACCAATTAATGTATTTATACCCCTTTAATACACAGCTTCCCTGTATGACATGACAGGGTTGTAAAAATTGACGCCCTTACTAATGTGCTGATTTTTAAGTATATTTTCCAATCTAGCGTGTTTCTGCTGACAGAAAAAAAAAGTGTTAGGAAATATCAACCTGACATCACAGAGAGTGTAGGCACAGAGAGTGAGAAAAGTGCACATGTACTATCCCTGCTACAGTGATGCACGTCAGCAGCACAGGCATCCTCTTCATACGCACTGTATGAGCTACATGTATATAGGTTTCATTAATGGACACCCGTGCAAAGCTTTCTACAGGAGATCTATAATTTATAAAGCTCTTTGGAGTGCTGCAAAATGTTCATCTAGTGTAGGAAGACATGTGGGTAGAGATGAAGACAGACAGCATGTGTGTGGGTGAGTGAGTTTGACAAAGGAGGGGAGGGTGAGCAAGTGAGATGGACCTTCCAGAAATATTTGGTAATATGGGTTAATGCGTATATTTGGTTATTGTATTTTATTAAAATATACAATAAAACATATATTTATTTACCATAGGTTGATATATACAATATAAACCCTCCCTCTCACGCCCTGTTGTTTTCTCCTCTGTAGATTTACCAGAAAGATTTGCCAACACACGGCAAATTGTATGTAAAAACACATGATATCTGTTCCTGACAGGGGTAATTCTAAATACCACTACTACGGGCTGAGGATCAAGGCAGGTTCTTCTCTTCTCCGTCTGATGGAAGACCAGCAACATCTGGCCATGAGGCAGCAGCCCTTCTCACAGAAACAGAGGTACCCACATAAACGTCCGTACACTCACACACACGTCTAACCACCACTGTAACCGTTTCTCTTGAATATCCATTTTAAAATGTTCCATTTGAATATATTTCCTTTAATACAGTTGTATCACGGACTCTTATTTTACCCGTCTCTTACACTATATAATTTATTTTAAATGCTCTTACAGTTCCACACTTCTGCTATATGATCTGACAGAAGTGCCTTTTCGTTTCACTTTATTATTCATCATCTCTGTGTAGAGCTGAGTGTTTTATCTGTGTTATCTTATATCCTTGTTCCTGTCAGGTTGAAGCCTGTGCATAAAGTTGAGGGGATGACGAATGGCACAGCAGCAGGAGCAGGTCAGCAGCAGCAGCAGCAGCAGGGGTCAGGGCAGGTGGACATCAGCACCCAGGTTCAGCAGTACCAGCAGTTCCTAGGTGAGTTCAGTGAACAAATACCTACAAGTGTGAAGTAATGGTTAATGATTTTCCTTTAAAGGAGATGTATGAGTCTGCTGGTCTTATTGTGAAAATGCAATATACATATAACACATAAAAACATATTACTTACAGTTAATACTGATTGCCCTCTGCGTTTATTGTGATTTCTCTTTGACTATCTAGTGTTCTTGTGTCGTGTGTTCCAGATGCATCCAGAGCTCTCCCAGAGTTCCCAGACATCGACCTCCAGGGGAAGTCTCTGCCAGAGGGCATCGAGCTGGAGCACATAAAGAGCTTTCAGCTGCTGTACAGAGAACACTGTGAGGTAACCGTTGCCTTTTCCATCTATTCTATCTAATTGTCAGTGGGAGACTTCATTGAATGAAGGTACCAACTATAACTTATAGGATAATAATAATTGAAGTTTACCAGCAAAAGGAAAAGTGATGCTGTTAGACAACCAAGGGAGAAGATGGGTCTCTAGTTGATCTTCAGATATGTGTTCAGTCATTTATTGTCAGTCATTTATGTATGAGACGTTCTCTCTGTCAGGCCATACTAGATGTGATGGTCAACCTGCAGTTTACCCTGGTGGAAACTCTGTGGAAGACCTTCTGGAGGTTCAGCCAGAGTCAGGCTGGGGATGCCACGTTGGCTGTGTGAGTGCTCAAGATTTATATGCAATCATTTAAAATTCTGTTTTTGTCCTAAACATAGTAAGAAACATTTTATACAGGACGCAAGTAATTAAAACTGTGTGTGTATGTTGGCAGTCATGACGAGTCAGAGAAACGTCTGCCGAAGTCCTGCCTGGTGCTGCTGTGCAAGTATGACCCAGTGCTGCGCTGGAGCCGCGACTGTGACAACAGCCTGTACCAGGGCCTGGTGGAGATCCTCATCCCTGATGTCCTCAGGCCCATCCCCAGTAAGGCTAATGTAGAAGCATGCTAATGTAATACATAACACCATACTGTCAAAGGCAGTATAGTGCAGAGAGTAACATGCACATGACAAAATATCATAAAATAATATTTTTACCTCAGAAGTGATCCCATAGGAAAACATGGTTTGACATGAAACTTTACTTTTTGATATAGAATTTGTCCATTTAGTTTACTCTCACTGAACATATGAAAAAAAAAGATCAACCTGATATTTTACATGTACGAGCAATTCTACATTTCTAGAAGAGTTTTCTTTTTATGGGTTGAAACATTTGGACTGATGCTCTGTCTCTGTAGAGAATGAGCACACAGTTTTCCTTACTGTGTGCCCACTGCTCCGCTGTGGAAACTTACTGGATTTATTCTGTTTCAGTTGCAATTTTAGTCAGACATTGAATGCAGTTTCTTTGAACAGTGCTCTGAAGGAACATATTGTTCCTCACATCTGAACTGCTGCCACACACCCTTGGTCTTTATCATCATATTGAGAATTTGGTGATGCATATATACATTGCTATACATTAGCTATGTTCCTCAGGTGTTTGATAATCCTTTAACCTGATACAATCTCACAGGATAATAATAATAACTTTATTCATCCCCTAGGGGAATTATCTTTTCACTCTAATAATTTTATAGACACACACGCACACGCACACACACACACACAGGAGATGTCAGAGCGATGGGTCTGCTGCAGAACAGCGCCCCAAGCAGTTAGGGGTTAGGCAAGGCGCTTGGTGAACTGACCTACTGCCACCCAATGAATACTCACTCTGAAGTATTTTTCCTGCCGCCCCCAGGTGCCTTAACTCAAGCCATCCGCAACTTTGCCAAGAGCCTGGAGAGCTGGCTGACCAATGCTATGATGAACATCCCTGAGGAAATGGTCCGCATAAAGGTACACTCCCCTTGTACAAGTTTGCAGTTGGTGATTCAACATGTTTTCTGAGCCATCGAGCAAGTTGTTTCAGGCCTGCAGGATCAGTCATTACAATACCATAACAACACTGTACTTTAGTTGAGATTGCAGGCTTAGAAATTGTTAGTGTAACACTTCTCTGTACCCATTTTCTGTGTGGGAGCTTTCCAGCTCTGCGGTGAAGCTTTTGTGAAACAAAATGTAGCAACTCACTGCCAGTAGAAATTCAGAACAATCAAGTTTTTTCACAGTGTAAATGGACTTCATGGGGCTCATTGATCTTCACAATTCTACGTGCTTAAGAGAAGATGTAAGGTCATGTTGATAAATATAGGCCTGTAACACTCGATCAGTGCACGTTCTACTCATTAAGGCCAAAGCTGAGCAAACATTGCTCATCCCAAGTAGCTAGGAAAAAAGGTTACAGGTTATTTGTAGAGATATTTGTATGAATAAGTTTCTTTTATGTAAAATATATTTTTTGTCTTTTCTCATGCTCCCTCAGGTAACATCAGCCAATGCATTTGCCCAGACACTGCGGCGCTACACCAGTCTGAACCACCTCGCCCAGGCAGCTCGCGCTGTCCTCCAGAACACGGCCCAGATCAACCAGATGCTCTCCGACCTAAACCGCGTCGACTTTGCTAACGTACAGGTTGGTTTAGCCTCCGAACGCTGTGTGCTGGCAGCATTTGTGTCTCCTCACATTCAGTGTTTGTGGTTTTATCTCGCATTGGTTTGGTGCACATGGGACTACTGTAGCTTGTGGTTTTAATGAGGTTCCATGTTTTTGATTAGGTTTTTCGAGTGATTCTGTCTTTTCCTGTACAGGAAATGCAAACCAGACTGTGAACTTTTTCTGAGAAACTGTCTTTCTCCTTCCTCTAGTGAGTGTAGAGCACATGATTGAACCTGGTAGTGACTCAGTGTCTTGTTATTTAATTAATTAAAGACTTTTTGGCAGTGAATGTATATCTTCACACAAGGACTTCAACCTGAGTTAGCAAAGCAAAGCATAGTCTATTTAAACATTACTACATCATGTATTTTTTACTCACATATTCCCCTCATCCTGTCCACTTTTTGCAGGAACAGGCCTCATGGGTGTGCCGGTGTGAAGACCGCGTCGTCCAGCGGCTGGAGCAGGACTTCAAGCTGACCCTCCAGCAGCAGAACTCCCTGGAGCAGTGGGCTGCGTGGCTGGACGGCGTGGTCTCCCAGGTCCTGAAGCCGTACCAGCACAGCCCCGCCTTTCCTAAGGCCGCCAAACTCTTCCTGCTCAAGTGGTCCTTTTACAGGTGTGATGGGAAACATTTCTGACATTTTTATTTCCATTCTACTTTTTTGTCTTAATGCTGTGTGATTTTAGCTACAAACTTTTGTTTCACAGTGAATGTGCACATTATAAGCTCTCACAGTCACTAATAGTAGATCACTGGCAGCTGAATTTGCTTTCTATTGATGGAAAAAACATTTAATTTATGTAGAAATGTATTAGTGGATTCACTGTGAGAAGTGAGGTTTCTCTGTCTCTGTTGAGAAATCAACAGACTCAGGCTAAGAACGTCATCATAGTGGAAGTTCTGAGAAACACTTCCTCTTTGTGGTTTGACGAAAAAGTGATATAGTTACCGAATATATGTGTAACGCTAATTAATTCCTGCCACATCTGCTCTACAGTTCAATGGTGATAAGGGACCTGACCCTGAGAAGTGCAGCCAGTTTTGGTTCCTTTCACTTGATCCGCCTGCTGTACGATGAGTACATGTACTACCTGATAGAGCACAGAGTGGCCCAGGCTAAAGGAGAGACCCCCATTGCTGTCATGGGAGAGGTACCAATACACACACACACAAATAAATGAACTAAATAATACAAGCCATGCTTACTTAGTACTTAGAGTACTAACACATTCCCCTCTTGCCATTAGTTTGCCAGTTTAGGCCGGGGTCTAAGCCAGCTGGATCCTGACAAAGGTAAACACACTGTTTCTACGGTGTCTAAGACTAACTACAGTCCTGTTTCAAGCATCGCTTTTAACTAACTAATTTACCCGTGTCTATCCCAGAAGAGGATGAGGAGGAGGACGACGAGAGCGATGACGAAGGACAGGAGCTGTCCCTTCCCTCAGATGGAGCCGTGCTGGGAGAGGAGTCTCTGGAGCCGCCTGCCAAGCTGGCCAGAACGGACCAGAGAGTCCTCTTCACAACTGGATCAGCTGACAACTAGTCACAGAGTAACACTACTAGACGTGGGTTGATTATATTGATTGCATACACACCCAGATGTACAATGAACACTAATTTATACACTTGACACATGTATATAGATCTTGTAAATGTGTGTGCGCACTCTCGCTGCATACTGTAACTGTCCCCACTTGTTTACGCATACACAATCAAAATACACACTCAATCAGTTCTGCTGCTGCCTGGATGGCACAACCACCTGTTGACACCATTGATTTAACACACAATCCCTGGCATTGCAACAGGATGTGGCTTCAAAAAACAGACTCTCAATGCAAAGAGAAAAATTAACTGGCATGTTTTGTTTTTTTTGTCGTCGTCTCTCATTGCATTGCAACCTGTAGCCTCGCTGTCTCCTTTGCCGAGAAGCTTCTGCTCACCCTAGATCCTCCTAAAACTGTCACTGCCGTATCAAAGTGGTCTTGAAAATACTGTGATGTGTGTGCGTGTGTAAAGGTAACTACAGGAGGAGGGTGCAAAGTGGACCTTCAACAGTAGGTGTTTGCTGAATTTAGTTGTTCCCAATTCATTCACGCTGTGGGGAAGCTGTGTCATTCAGATGGGAAAGAGACATTTGTGAAAGACAGCAGGCGGTTGGGATTTTTTGGGTGGGTTTGTCTCGTTTGTGTGTGTGTGTGTGTGTGTGTGTGTGTGTGTGTGTGTGTGTGTGTGTGTGTGTGTGTGTGTGTGTGTGTGTGTGTGTGTGTGTGTGTTTTCCGAATGAGCACTGGGGTCACACCGCTCTGCTGTTGCTTCTGGAGGCTGACTGAACATGCTTTTCCACGATGGTACGTGTATATACGTGTGTGTGTGTGTCTGGTTGTGTGATTGTGAGTCAAGTGTGGGCTGTTTCCTTCTGTAGATATTTTCTAAGGCCTTCAGGTTTTGATTTTGGGAAACGTGTGGAGATTTCCTGTTTTGATTCGCCTGTAAAGAAAAACAGTCTTGTGTTCTTGGAGTGCCTGTCGCAGCTGCTACACACACTTGTAAAGATAAAAACTACGGCTGTGGAATTGGGGCTCCCATTAGTTGCTGCAAAAAATCCTCTCTTCTATTGAACATCTGGTTCCATGAGAGAGGTACTGTACGTGTCATATTTTTACGTTCAAAGTGCTCCATTCCTGTCCACCCCAATACGTTCCTCTGTGGCCTCATTTTCCTTTGACATATCGTTTTATCTCGCCTTATTTCAGTATATTTTTCCGTGTGTGCCAAACCTGTTTGCTTTTATCCCAGATCCCATTGTTTTTAAACTCTCTATGTTTTAAGGAGGACTGTGCCTGAGTAAGAACGATGATATACTTATATTCTACTGTATATTTATCCACTATTTTGAATTTTGTTGTCACTAAGTGAACCTCTTGTGCAGTGTATGGTGCTGTGTTGTCACACATTGTAAGCAATCTTTGTGTGCATTATTGATTTGTGATTGTACGTTCAGTTATCAATCCTATATCATATCTTACGACTTTTCCACAAACAGGCTAAGGCCCTGCCTCTTTGCACATATTGACTATTGTCTTTAAAACTACGACAGAGTTATCTGAAATGTTTTTCATCTTCTTCGAAGTCTTAGGTGTTTTCAGTGGTGGGGTGCAGGTGTCAGATTTCGTGCAAACATCTCATACCTACTCAGCGTGGTTCAGAGAATTTGGTGAGAGGTGACAGATCTGATGGCTCTTCCTGCACAGTCCTCCACAGACACTCACCTCCCTCCACTGTGCTTTCATCTCGCTGCATTTCCGCCCTCCTGCCAATGGCTTTGTTTTGCTTCAAACATCCATATTCTTAAACACTGTTCGTCAAGATTGGTTGTTGTAAACATGTCATTTTTTGGATTTTTAAATACAATGTCTTTAAATAGCTGCAGTGCACGTTTTCAACAGGCATCGGCAGCCTCAAACCAGCACATCATCCTTTATAGGGACTCTAATGCTACCACAGCTGAGTACATATCACTCCAGTCTTGATGATCTACAGCATATAGAATGGCCATTGTTTACCCAGTAAGAAAAATGTTTAGTCATTTTTATAGTGCATTGTTTCTTATGTACAAAACAAATTGAGAAAAAAAGATGTTCAGTGGCAGTGTTTTATGAATTTGGTCTGCTGTAAGTATGACTGTGCCTTTGGAGGTGGTAGAATGCAATTCAGATGTTTTTAATTTTAAAGATATAAATTAAAGAATTTTTAAAATTGCACTTGTCTTCCCTCGTACATTTATTTCCATATAAAGTCTAGCAAAACTTTCTGTTTTGAACAGGAAGTCAGTCAAATGGCAGTCCTTCAGTATTTATATTCTTTGTGGCTAACAGACGTCTGACGTGCAACCACAATCTTATCAAATCTTAAACTTAAACAGATAGACTTCCTGGGACGTACACCTACACTTACTGTAGTCGCAGTGATTTATAACTTATCAGTTATTACTTTTAATGTGATACACCATGTATGACACTGGAACAGAAACCACAGACGTGTGGTTTCCGAGGGTTTGAAAGAAGACTAACAGAATCCACCTATCAGATTTTTGGTTTATCTTTAGTTATCCATTTTAAAGATTTTGTCAGTAACAGGGTTTTATGTTCACAGTACTGTCTTATTAATCCGAGGTAGACGAATAGTGACATCTAGTGGTGATTTATCTCAGCTTTGCTTTGTTATATCTGCCGACAGGGCCGTTTTATCGACACTTGAAAAAGAAACAAGACAACAAAACGTTCAACACACATTTGAAAGTCATTGACGTTTGCCCCTTTTTTAATTCAGAGTATTGCTGCTGGTGGTCATCTATTAACAATATCAACACTGCTGCCAAAAGCAGGCTCACAGCTGCCATTCAGAATACAAGAATCATACCTGATACATCTCTGTAAGTCAAAACCAACATCGTTATATTGCTGAATATATGTACATATACAATAGATCTTAAAACGGGACACATTGGAAGACTAAATTTAATCATGTTGCACACAATGGCTGTGGGAAGGCAAAAGATCAACAGGTTCTTGTCGCCAGCCATAAAAACCAAGGTATATAAAGTAAAAAGCAATCACATGCAACCTTGAGATGAAACAGAATCACAGCATGGCTCAAACATATACTTTAAATGTGTGCTTATGTGACATCTTCCCATTGTAGAGGAACCTGCAGCTGTACGAACTACAGAGGGGGACAGAACCTCTAAATGAGAAGTCACTACACTTAAAAGTGACGAGGATTGATCTGCAGTTCCCTCAAGGTGAATGCCCACTAGCAGTATGTGTTGGCTTTAAAAAGGTCTGATCATCACTTTTGAATATTACAAGCTAATACGAGATAACTAGGACTGTTCACACCAAGCTGGTTTATTTTTCTTTTCAATTTTGGCCTTTGGTCCACAGTAAGCCGGCGTGCCCAAAAACAAAAAGTGAATGGACATTTGGAGAGGCAAAAGAGGTGCTTGAACAGCAGATGGGTGTGTGACAAATACAGCATCATAAACCAGACACACTGCTCTGTGTAGTACTCCTCACACTGATGGGTATTTATGGCAGGGCTGTTAATAGGAAGCCACTAGTATCAAGGCCAAAATAAAGATGCATAACCTGGTGTAAGGCGCATAAATCCTGCAACAAATGAGCAATTTAAAAAAAAGGTCGTCTTTCAACCTTCTAGGACTCTAGGATTAAGTCTAATACCAGTCATAGTCTTCCCAATTAAACCATTCTAACAGAAACTTTTGAACCCTTACGTGAATATCTGGGTGCAACACCAGAACTTCGCCTTCCTCTCTCAAAACAACTCGAATTGTTTTGTATCTTGCAGAACACTTTTCACGTCATTACACACAGGTGCCTCACTTCTAAGCGTTTTATCATCTACCTCTAGTGGCTTTCAACAGTTATTAGTCATCCCACATGCACGAGTCAACGCTGTAGAGTTCCTTTTGTACACTGTAAAAATGGCTGACTCGTACAAAATACTATAATTGAACACATTCGTAAGCAAAAGAAAAGCCAAATGTATACAAGTTGAAACACCATGCAATCCTCAGCAGAGGGAAATGTGACAATTAAAAAAAACCAAAAAAAAAAACACTGAAAAAATCAAGAGCTTTAAAAAAAGATTTCTCTGACGTATTACCTGTACCAAATAACAATATGATTATAGTCTTAATAGCTCTGTGCAATTCAGTCACTATAACACAGGAGTATGAAGCGAAGTGCCTTAAAAATGGGACTTAGAAGTCTTACGAAGAAGTTAAGAAAAAGGAAGAAGAGATAGATTTATTGGCAACTCAGTCTCCTCCGCAATGAACTAAGCGCTTCAAGGCTTCGATGTTCATAGCGGCATATATAAATGTATGTAGAGGCATTGAGAAGCTGCATACCTGTCATGGCAGGGTTATCAGTCTTCCCCCTCCCTTCAGCAGCAAAGCACTAGAATGTTTGTTCAGTTCACATTTTTATTAAAAAGTGTCCAGGTGGTGTTTGGAGGTGAGGAAGCATTTTTTTTTGGTTTCCTCTCACAACAAATAAGATTAAAAAAACAACAAAATCTTAACAAGCTAAATTCTGGCCTCAAATTCAGGGTCGTTTTCTTCATCCCGTCTACCCGATTCTCTCCGGCATCATAGACCTTCTGCCATCAACTCTCACTGCGTCTAAAACACAAACGGTTGAGAGATAGCACATCCTTTGTGTGAAAACCACTGAAGGATCAACTTAAATTATGAAATGTATTACTTTCAGGTAGATACCTCCCTGTGTCGTCTGTACCAACCTGTCCTTGTTGGGGAGTGGCTGGCTGGCCAGGGGCCTGTCCTGTCTGTCCATAGTACGCAGCCTGCTGCCTGTAGTACTCCGCCCAGGCTGCGCTGTAGTCCGGCTGGCCCCCTGTTGTGGATGCTGCTCCCCCTGCTGCTCCTGGGGCTGCAGCTGCTGTCCCAGGGACGGAGCCTCCTGCCTGGGCTGGAGGTGACAGACAGAAGAGACATGACCCAGCTCACCACTACATTCACGATGACTTAAGGACCAGCGATAGTTCACCTTAGGAACAAAACATTTGGCGTGTCCCAGCTCCACACTACATATTAATCAGGTTTTGAGTATGTAGTGGGTTGTACTACCCGCCATTAATTAATTAATTTATATTCTTACTTTTCTGCACAAAACAAGAGACCAACATCTCCCCCCTCTTTCTTGATAATAATGTATATATTTATATGTAAAGCTACAGACCACAATACAATGAATGGTGAACCAGTTATCTAATTAATAGATGATAAATAATGTAAAAGCCTAATAATTCTATCAAAATTGAACCTAAAGAAGTTAAATACAAATGATTATATATAATTATTATTCAATTATCAGTATTTTTATTATTATTATTTATATGATGTCTTCATGTAGGGACAAATAAAGTAAAGTAAAACCAAAGATGGTGTTTTTTGGCAGTCTTACCCATCTTCTTGTAGTACTCCTCCCAGGCCTTGGTGTAGTCTGGTTGGCCCCCAGGCGTCTGTGCGGGCTGGGTCTGGTCCCCTGAAGTTTGGGCACCTCCAGCTGGGTTAGCAGGGTACTGGGCTGGCACAGCCCCCGACGGCTGCTGGTAGTACTGAGCGTAGTAGGCTGCCCAGGCTGCGTTGGGGTCATTGGCTGCTGCCTTGCCTAGAAAAGATGCAGGGTGGAGGGGGTGAGGTCCTCATAGGGTGAGGGTGAGCCCCTGCTACTGGCCTGGAGACCGGGCTTGGAGACCAGGGGGGAAACAGAGACAGGGTTAGCCAGAGCAGCTTAAGGTAAAGACAGGTGCATCTCATCACAACATTTCCATCAGTACTCCTGTTGACCTTCCCAGTTTGAGAAAAAAAAAAAGTCATTACTCATCTGAAAAGACTGGGAGGGTATACAGTAAGCCTGGGATCACAGTAGGGTTGATGTGTAAAGAGAGCCAGCATGCTAAAATGAGCAAAAATAAACACTGATCCTTTGAAAACCAGGAGAGGCAGTGAAGTCAAATGTGACTCACTGGGGTCGTGGGGTGCCTGGGGCTGCCACTGCTGGTAGGTGTTGCTCCAGCCCTGTGGAGTGTACTGGTGAGGACCTGGAGGACCACCACTGAGGAGGAAAGAAATGGTTCATTATTAAAATACCTCTCAGGATCACCCCCCCCCTGGCATAATGAGTAATCGGTTGTAGCTACTCACTGTGGTGGTCCAGGCGCCCCAGGCGGTCCGGGGTTGTATGGGTTTGGGTTGTAGGGACCCATTGGACCAGCAGGACCTGGTCCACCTGGCCCCGGGCCCACAGGACACAGAGGACCCTGGAGCAGGTGACATAATCACACATTATATGAATGTACAGAGAGACAGCATCAAATGTTCACATTTCAGAAGCTGGAGCCAGCAAATGTTTCACATTTTTGCTTAAAATGGCCAAAATTATTATTTGAGTATCAAAATAGCTGCCCATTAAATCTCTGTTGATCAACAAAGTGATTATTGCAGCTCTAGATTTAAGATGGTTAACTGGCTCTAGTACTGCTACACAATGTATTGTTATTTGTAAGACATTCTCATCCAGGATACAATAAATAAATGAATTAATGTGATCATTTGTGTTTGGGTGAGAACTCTTCTCAGCTTCCACATTTTGGTTTTCCTACACGTAACTAAAAACAACAACGGTAAGTACCTCAATCTTCTCTTCAATGAGCTGCTTGGCGTGGTCGATCTGCTGCGGCGAGCCCCGAATGATAAACAGCTTGAAGTTAGGGTCTCCGTTGGGGGGCGGCTGTCGGGAGATTTCTACGAAGGCCCCCGTCTGCTGGTTGATGGACTTGACGTTCTCTCCTCCCCGGCCAATCACAAGCCCGCACTTGTGGGCAGGAATAGAGAAGGTCATTTCCCCTCCAGGGGGCCCCCAACCACCTTGTCCCCCACCTCTGCCCCTATTGCCCGCAGGCATGCCCGGAGGACCTGGAGGACCCTATGGAAATAGGAGAGACAAAGCCTCAGTACCACAGCATTACATACTTTATATGCGTGTAAATGTAGATATTGAATGAAATATTGATGGTTTTGCCTCACGCCGGCTGCCAATATGATTAATACGATCCTTTACTGTGTCTAATGAAAGCACGGTTTACACTATGACAGTTCATGCGTGTGTCAGAAAGTGCGATCCGTACCCCCTGTCCTTCCTCCCTGACCCTGATG